TAGCTGGCCTCAGTTCAACTTGGAACGATTTTATTGTGCGGGATAGATCGCCTCGCATAAGCAGTTTGGGTTACGCATTCATATCATAAAAAAATCTTAAAAACTCGCACAAAGTAGTCCAGAGCATAGCCAAATCGGCAACTTTCAAACTCCCAGAACTTTGCAACTTTGTGCAGGTAAAATCTCTTTTTTTTAAAATTTCATTTCAGAAAGTCAATTTCAGAGTCAGAACAAAAACTAGTACTGATCCAGCTAAAACTGGAGTTGCCCATTTGATATGCTTTAGAATATGTTAGAATATGTTAAACTAATGCGGGATGAAGTGAAAATTTTTCAGAATTTCCAAAGTTGGCCTTTGGAAAAACTTAGTAAGTGTGCAGTTTTGTCGTAAGGTTATTTATTTTTATGCCATTCACCGTTCTCTCCTCGCATACTACAAAAGTACAATTTTGATATGGATATGGATATAATATGTTGAAAAGAAAAGGAATAACACTGAAAGAACTTGGCGTCAAAAAATCGAACTTACAGCAAGGAAAGCCTGTTACTGTGCAACTAGCACAGAATATTCAGACCATAGTCTAAAAACACAAAAAGAGTTTTTTCAAATTAATGTCATTTTTTCTGCTTGGTGTGATAAAAGGGTTTGATCGAAAGCTGGAATTTATGAAATCTCGAGATTCATAGTAAAGTTGGCAAATTGAACAATATATTTGTGAAAAAATTACTAAAAAAAAAACAAACAAAAAAAAGAATTCAAAAATCGAAAGAAAACTTTCCATTTTTTTACCGACACTTTTTAAGTTTTGAACTTTTCAATCCCAAATGGCACAAAAAAAGCAACTATTTTAGAGTAAAATCAAGTTTTCACGGCCTAAATTAAGCAAAAATAAGCTACTGTAAGCCTGTTCGTTTGCATTATTTGCTTGAATTTAGTTAAATTTTTAACTTGTTGTTCTCAAAATGGAGAGCTTTTTGGAAATCTTTATTGTCGTTCGAACCACGACTGAAAGGGCTTTAAAACGATAAATCACTCGATCCATTCTAACAATTATTTTTGATGCCTGATTTAGCGTGGAAAATTAAAAAAAAGGAAAAACAAGAAACCTAAAACACACCCGAATGCAAAATTTCTTTTCATGTTTCAAATAGTCGGAACAAAAAGCAATAATTTGTCGCAAGGACTTAGTCTCAGGAGTGTTTGCTTCGCAGCTCTCTGAAAAATTCTGTTATGAGACCGCAGATGTTAGGCATGGCTTTTAGTTTATGATTTTTCACATTCAATTAATTCGAGATAGGTATTCTTTTTTGTGGCATCGTGCACTGCCACACATTTCTCTCCCTGGGCATGTATTTTCAGTTTTGCTAGAAAAAATCATTTTCAAAATAAAAGTTTTATTTTTTACTGAAAAACCGATCAAAACAATCAGCTTCAATTTTGCCTTCATATGTGTAAGATAATAAAGTTAATATGGTCACCCGGCTCTTTTTCTTTTTATCCGTACCTTCACAGTTTTAGAACAAAATTTGCTGACTATTTTTGTACAAAATGTTAGAGCTTTTGTGCTCGGGGTGAGTTCTTCTCCACACAAACTTTTATTAGCAAATTTTGATGGAAGTTTTCATGGAACGGTATTGCTGTCCTCAGCTCGAATGTAAATAAATTATCTTCACCTATGATTATTTTTTTTCAAAAAATATGAGGGTTTAAAGATTACCCAGTTGGGCAAGTTGGGACCAATTAACTCGAGATACAGTGCTAATTTTAATTATCGTGACAAAACGCATTTATCTTGAAGTTTAAAACGCAGTTTAATCAAACTGAGCTGACGTTAGAAAAAAAGCGAAAAAAAACCTGCTAAGAGTTTCAGCACATTTAATATGGTGCAATTTGGTCTGCAAAAATCGGACTGAACTACCGGACCAAAGTTTGCCTGAACTACCGGACCTGCACTAATTTGCCTGAACTACCGGACCAATTGCTTTCAAAGTTTCATAAAAATGAGCTTCGTATGTACTTCAGCAAAGTTTAAGAAGAGTACGATTTTTCTATTTTTTTTGTAAATAAATTTAATTTTGTCTGATAGCTAAAACGTGTCGTTTTTACAATTGCTTTTTTATATTTGAAAGTTATTTTGAGACATTTTGCTCAATTTTTTGAATTTTATTGGACTACTATGTAAGAAGCTTATTTTGATGTATTCTTGACAGCAACTCATTCGGTAGTTCCGGCACAATTTTTCATTAATTAAAAAACTCAAAACTGATTACTTTTTAGATATTTTTGGTTGGCCCGATTTTTGCAAAACAAATTGCACCATTAAAATAGGGATAAAAGTAAAAAACAATTTTTTCCTCATTGGTTTTGCTTAGAGTCAACTCATTTTGAGAAAAACTAAATTAAACTTGAAGCCTTATTTGTTTTGCCCAATTTATTTAAATCAGCACTCCTTTTTCGTATTATTAACGCTTAAGCTGATGATTAATCTGTCTTAGAATTAGTTTCAAATTGAATTGAGGTGTGCTTTTAGGTCTGTTCCATACTTTCCTATATGCAAAAAATATCGTGTTGTACTTTACATAGCGTGTGACCGGATGATTCTCAATAAAAGCATCAACATTTTTTTTCATTTTTTTTTTCAATTTCATTATTTATTTCAATTTAAATGAACCGATAGAAAACAAACAGCTGTCGAAACATTCAAGACAAGAGCAAACTTGTTTCGGTTTATATTGTCTCGTTGTTGAAAAAACTCGCGTGTAGATCAATGAGGCTATTACATCTTCGGGCATAATTTTGTAAAAACCGTTAGTTACACCATGAACTATGATATTGAGCTTCTCATCGAAACACCACAAAAAATTCTGGATAAGAATGTTTCCTTGAATCATGTTCCGTGCTTTTCAAAATTAGCTATGACAGCAACTAACTGAACCAGAAAATTCTCATGTCCTATAAAAAAATTCTGCTCATACATCAAGGCGAAGCCCTGATTGTTCGGTATGCATTCACGGTTAATAAATTGTTTGATTCGTTTGGTTGAATAGTTGACAGAAAAACAGCAATTGTTGTGTATTCTTAATCCCCATATTCTATGTAAAATACAACGGGTGTGTTAAGCGTCTCGCATTGTGTTAATAGGAGGATTAAAATGCTGGCCTCAATTCAATGTGGAACGCATTCATTCGCTTCTTTCGCATTTGAAAAGAACGCAAAATATAGCAAATTAAATATTCAAAATTGGCCAAATTAGCATTTTTTCAATGCCCGTAACTGTACGGAAAATGATGAAAGTTAAAATATTCTTTTAAATTTAAGCTCAAGGAACCAATATCTTTCAAATGGTAAAAAAAATTGCACTTACTCAAATTTAAGCTCAAGGAACCAATATCTTTCATATGGTAAAAAAAATTGCACTTACTCGAATGTCAAATGGTAAAAAAAATTGCACTTAATCAACTTGGAAAGATATAATTTGCCGCTAACAAGTGTTAAAAGTTGCGCGTTTATTGCGCATTTATTAAGCGTTAAAAATTTCAAAATGGTCGAAGTATTATGTTTCAAACCTCAAAGTGCTATGTTTCAAAGTACTAGGTTTCAAATTTACAAAAAAAATACCAAATAATTTTTTTTCAGACTCAAGCTCAGGACAACAAAATCTTTCAGACGATGTAACCCGTGTCAAAAAGCTCTTTATATGTTTCAACCGTCTCGATTAAATTTTGGTCGAGGCGTTTCAAACCTCATACAAGGGCTGATATTCGTCAGAAAATTTTTAAATTAATTTTCATTAAATTTTATTATTCGTCAGACGATCGAGCTCGAGCTATGTTTCGAATGCCCTCGAGGTATATTTTGACCCTGCTCAAGATATGTTTCATCAAGCTCGACCTAATTCGATATGTTTCAATCATGCTCGAGGTTTTTTATGACCGTGCTCGACTAATTTTGATGTACTGATGTTTTGACTGTGCTCGAGTTTCGAGATATTTATTTAGATTTTGTAATTGACCCAAAAGCCTCTCTCAACTTTGCTTTTTTGATCGAAATCGGACATTTTGCTTGACTTTGAAGATCAAAACAAGGTGAGCCCCTCGACCCGGTAAAATTTGGTCGAAAACGTTTAGTTAAAAAGTCGCAATTTCAATGAATAAAAATCAGCCCAAAGCATAAACATCCCGTAATTTTCTTCAAAAGTCGAAACAATTATGGGTTTGAACTAAAGAGAAAATTGAGATGTCATTTCTTGTTCTAGATTTGAGCCAAAATCAAACAAGACTGCTCGTTTCAGGGCGAAGCTCTGAATGTTCCGACTGCCTTTTAAGGTTAATGGAGCAGCAGTAATAACATAAAAAAATTAAATGAAATAAAATAAAATGAAAATTTTTTATTCTAAAATTTGAAATTTTTTATGAAAATCATCACCCTTCACGCCATATAAAGTACAAAAAGAGAGATTTCGTTCCTTGTAACAAATCAATTATGGCAAATAAGCTTCATTCAACCAACTTGGAACGATTTATAGGACGGTTTAAATATCCGCTTACGCGTTAATAGCGCGAATTATATCGCGCGTTAATTGTCCCAAATTGGTCAAAATGGCCGAAATGGCAATCTTTCAACCCTCATAACTCTACGAAAAATGATCACAGGTGAAATATCTGTTCAAATTTAAGCTCAGGACAACAATACCTTTTGAATGATATAAAAAAAGTTCCGTCAAAAATGGCTAGATAAAAAGTCGAAATTTGTCTGAAGAAAAAAAACCCACCCCGATCACAAATATTCCGTTACTTTCGTATCGAAAGTCGGAACAAAAATGGACGACCACAGCTTACATACACTCTAAGAGTAGGTGAAAAGCGTGAAAGAATTAGTATTACTTTGCTCTCAAAATAAGCTGTTTATAACAAAAAAAAGCATTTTAAAACAGCGAAAAATATGTGAAAAGAAGTAAATACCATCAGATGTTTAAAGTTGTGTGAGCCAAAAACTCGTTCGTCCAAACACTTTGCATGGTTGTAGCTGGTTTTGGTTAATATTTGTAAATCTGGCTTCAATTTGATAACGTGCGCGTTTATGGCGTTCTAAAAAAAGTATTTTAATTTTTTCGTTGTTGCTATTAACTTTAATCTGGGATTTAATTTGCTGCTTTAAAAAGGATAACACACGCAGCAGCGATTAAACTGAGGTTTGATTGGCCATTATTGTTATCAAAATGGCGGCCGCCTCCAAAAATGCCAACAACAGGAACAAGCACACAGCCTCCTCAACTGATAGTTACAGTTTGGACGAGGACAGGAAAATGAGGAACTCCATTCTTCAGAGAAACACCGTAAGTAGTTTTAGTTCTCGGACTTTTTTTCGCTCTTTTCCAGTTTCCCACCCCCTCTCGTGAAATAACCTTTCACGCGTTTTTTTTCAGTTTCGGAAATTCTCAAAATAAGGAAAGGGGTGGAAAAGAGCCCTTTTTTCACCCCTGGTCCTCATTTAATTGGCTATCAATCTTTCAAAATTAAAAGAGTAAGGGATTTTGTCTTCCACCGGGCCAAAATAAAAATGACGGGCTCTTTTTCCTTTTTCCCCCCCACCTCACATAAGCGTCAATTTTACGGTGTAACGAGGGGTTTTACAAGGTTAATTATGAAAATCAAAAATGTCTGTCATGGCCTAATTAGCTCGCATGCCAATTTTTGTTGACGTTTTCAAAAGAGCTTGTTTTTATGGAAATTCAAGATTTTTGAAAAAGCAAGTCCGAGCGAACTTTGATCCAATCAAAAATAGTTGGCTCTTTTCCACTCCCCGGCTCACATAAGCATCTATTTTATGGTGTATCGAGAGATTCAACAGGGATAAGTATGAGATTTGAACATGTTTGTCAATGCCTAATTATTTCGCATGTCAATTTTCATGACAATCGGATAATGAGAACAATCACTTCAATTAAAACAAATTGCAGGATGGGGATACAGAAAAAAAACCCGGGCTCTTTTTCCTTTTCCCCCCCACCTCACGCCAGTTTCAACTTATATGTGTAACGAGTGGTTTTACGAGGTTGAGTATGAAGACAAAATATGTTTGCCGTGGCCCTATTAGTCTGTATGTAAAATTTCATAACAATCGGACAATGTGGTCAACAAATTTACATGTAAAAGTTTGCAGGTGGGGGGGGGAAGGAAAAAGAGCCAAAACCCGTCCCCCCACCTTTGAATTTCAATTTTATTAAGTTACTTTAAGGTTGACATAAAGCAAAGAAACTGGGCATGGTGCAGAAAGCTACAATTGAGAACAGATTTTTGTTCTTCATACCTTTACATCGAAGCGTTACGCTTTTTCGTATAATTACGCATAGCCACAATTACGCATAAACAACAATAAAACAGAAAATTGGACGAAGGGTGGGGGAAAGTCGAAAAGAGCAAAATATTTCATAAATAACAAATCAGTCATATTAAAAATTACAGCTCCATTCCTTTTCCCCACATCTTTCAAAATTTTTCTCCGAATTTCGGAGAAAGTTCGGATTAATAACGCTTTGGTTTTTTATTCAGTCAATTTTCGAATTTCAAATAATCATTTTATTTTTTTAAATCACTGAAAACGTTTTGTTGTCTTGATTTCACAATTTAAAAGATATTTCATCTGTGATTTTTTATGGGGGTTTAAAATTGCCATTTTGGCTAACTTGGTACCATCAACGCGCGATATAATTCGCGCTATTAACGCATACACAAAGATTTAATCCGTTTTAGAAATTGCTTCAAATTGGTTGAAGGAAACTTTTTTGCCACAACTGATTAGTTACTAGGGGCGAAATCTATTATTTTGTGGCGGTTTGTGGGATGATTCTTACGAAAATCTCAAATTAAAAAAAATTCATTTTGTCTTTTTACATTGAATTTTTTCTTGTTATTACTGCTCCATAGACCTTAAAAAGCAGTCGGAACATTCAGCGTATTGCCTTGGTGCGAGCGGTCTTGTTTTTTTTTCAAGATACATACGAAACGCTTAAAACATCCTCGTTTCCTTTGATTTTTTCTTGATTTTTCTAAATCAAATTTACAGCCACAAACTGTTGAATTGGCCTCGAAAATTAGTTAGAACGCGCTGTGCCTCGTACTTATATACAAGCAGTATTTTTTGTTATTAGATTTTTTTTACGTGTTACTATGGTGGAATGCGTGCTTTTACATTGTATAGTAGGAAGAACAAAGGTGTTAATAATTGTTGGTTTATTAAACATGCCTTTTCTTAACAAGCTGGTTTTTTGCCATGCATTGATTATGCTGTTTGCCTTATAAAAACCGTAAGGTAGTTTTTCAAAATAGGAGGAAAAAATTGGGAAGAAAATGGACAAGATTCAAACCAAGACAATTTATGACCGTAAAGCTGATAACTGATAACTGATTTTTGATAGCCTAATTTAGCTGGTGAAAACACCAACAATTGTCAACCGTTTATTTTCATATTTTTCCATACATCGTAAAATGACGCTTTAGCCATGATTAAAAATGAAAAAAAAAAGTTTAAAAGTTGCAATTAGAAAAGAGCCAGTTTTTGGTTTTCAGAATGAAAAAATGCAGGGTTGAAAAAAAAACAATTTGAGCGAGGAGGAAGTTAGAGCAGAAACTCCGAACGCGGAATAGTCTAACAGCAAAAAACTAAAACAACCCAACGAGAATGGTTATGATTATAAAAAAATATATAAAAAACTATTTTTGAAGCCTTTTGAATTGCATTTCATGCTATAACTTGACTAACTAATCGAACAAGTTTGCATTTCATTTTGAACTTTATCATGATTTTATAACCAATAAAATCGTTTTAGTGTTGTCATATCTAATTAATATTGCATGGCAAAAAAAGTAGTTCTGAAACATTGCTTTTCTGTAATTTATTTTTAAAAATGTCTCGCTATAGCATGCATAAGTATTGTGATAATGGAATTTTTACAAAATGGGGGAAATACAAAGAGCCGCACAAAAAACCACCGTCAACTTTTCATCCCTGAATTTTAGCGTCCTATATCCGTTAAAAAACTGCAAGAAGAATGTCTTTAAAAAGCTCAAGCACGGAAGGTATTGACGTAACTTTAATGCCCTTTACACATAGAGATATTACAATTTTTCGAAAAGCTAGTTTGTCATAATCAGGGCAGTCGAAACAGTTTAAGCTCCTCAAATACTTTTTCGGTTCCTTTTTTAGTCACTTCAAAACGTTCCAATTCTCTCAACTTTTTGCTTTTTTCAGCAACTATTACCATTGCACATTGATTCTCCTTGAAATTGATTCGTATTTTTACAAGGCACAGGATTCTAAACTTGATGGCTTCAGTTGCCAAAATTAGAATTTCACTCATTTTCTAATGTGAATTGCCATTTTGCCGCAATTTGTTTTCAGTTTGAGTCTCATACAAAAACATTCAGAACAACAAAAATTTGCTAAAGAGGTTGAAGTCGGGTTAAAAGCTCCGACTCAAATGCTTAAATCTTTGCAGTTGTTTTTGGTTCAAAAGTGATGAAGTTTTTGAAATAATTTTTTTTCTTTTGATCATTTTGTACCCACAACACAAGCTTTTATAAAAAAAATTTCAAGTAAAGTTTTATGAAACTAATTAGCTATTATTTTAAGTCTTACAAATGCTTATAAATGACCTAATCCAGGTGATAATTTGATGGAATTTGACATGTTGAAAAACTAGCAAAATGAACTTCATTCTTTAAATCGTAACATCACTAATTATAAGCCATAATACTACGTTGCCATAATACCGATTTTGAAATATGTCTGAAGCTGAATATTTTGCTGCGTACCCGTTAAAAAACGCAAATATTGTGCGTTGATTATATCAAATTGGAACACTTCAAATCCCGATGACTTTACAAAAAATGATCGCGACTGAAATTTTCTTAATTTTGAGCTTCGGAAAAGAAGCTGGTGGTTTTCTAGATGGTTTTTAAAAGTTCAGTCAAAAACGCGTAGTTAAAATTTGAAAAATGACTGAACTGAATGTTCCGACTGCCCCTTAATCTGTAGCGATTTTATATAGATTTTTGGGAAAAGAAAGTACTGGCAAACTTTGGTAAACATCAAAGATCAAGTGTGAAAATTTGAGTCGTAAACAAGTAAAACGATCGGCTAGTAAAAATTAATTCGTGTTTCCTTTTCATCATTATGGATGAAATCTTCAAAAGGTGCTTAAATTAGTCCAGAGCATGGCCAAATTAAGTTTTTTTAAACTTCCAGAACTTGGCAAAAAAATGACCGGAGGTAAAAGATGTTTTTAAATTTGATTTCAGGGGTATGTCTTTAATGGGGTATAAAATTATTTCGTTAAAAACTATTATTTCGATCGCCAAAGATTGACTGAATAATAAGAAAAACATAAAACATAAATATTCCGTTTTCTTTGAAAGTCGGATTAAAAACATAATCGCCCCAAGCATAAATATTCCGCACTTTCTTCGACTAATTGAACTCCCATATTTTTCCTAAAATGATTACAAATATGATAATTTTCATTGATCAAAAGAAATAATCGTGCTCGGTATGGTTGTTATATATATAGATTTTTGATTTTCAATTTGTTTTTAGAGAAATTTTTTGCACCGACTGAGACATATTTGTGCTTAAAGCTGGAACGTAAGTAGCAATGTAATATGAATTAGAAGTTGAACCAAGTTATTTGATGTATGCTAATTGTTTCTAATATTCCGTTAAAAAACGCAAAAGATATTAGTTGTGCTAAACCAATAGCAAACCGATAGCGAACCAATAGCAAACCGTTACGAACACAACCAAAAAATTTTGAAAAATTAAAATGTAAAAAATCAATATTTTTGGTTTATGGAAAAATGCTAGTCATACAATTTCCATATATGAAAACATACTAATCATAGAACTTTCATGCAATTTTCTGTACGTATGGAATTGTATGGAAAGTGTATGACTAGCATTTTTCCATATATGGAAATTGTATGACTAGTATTTTTGGTCATCCCGGGACAGTGTAGTTTTTAACAGTGTAGTGGGACCTTTTTTGAGATCGACCAAACTGATCTTCCGAGCCGTCGAAAAATATTTTTTTTTGGGTTGGTTGACCAAAAATGAATGACGTAAAATAGTGCCAAAGTAGTTCTTTTGGGCGGTGAGAGGATCAAATACCTGAAAAGAAAGGGGCCTAAGCTCAGCTTCGGTATGTTTTTCTCTCAAAGATTACATCAGACCTACTATAGGGCAATTGGTTAATAGTTTTGTCGACTTATTTTTTTTACGCGCGAAAATGAAAACCCACTTAACTGTTGATATTTTTGAAATGCATATTTTATACAGAAACTGTTGTCAAAAATAATACATGCATAGGGAGGGGGGGGGGGGGATAGTTAACAAGGTCGAAAAGGGGGGACTAGTAAACAAGGTCGAAAAGGGGGAATAGTTACCAAGATCCAAATTGGTTCTCCGAGCGCTCTTAGGTTACTACAAGAAAGCTAGTCAAATGGGCCATTTTTCGGCACTTTATGCAAGTTTTTTCACCAAGATAACGCCTTTTTGAGGCGCGCGTTCCCCTTTAAAAAAGGGAAGACCCTTTGGTTGGTGAAGGGGTCGAAACACTGAGATGGGAGGCGTTCAGCCCATAATCCGACCCTGCTTTTTTGGCTCAAAATCTTAAAGTTTGATAAGAAAACGTGCGTTAAAAACCATTAACTCAATTATGGAAAAAAATTGCCCATAAGTACTATGGTCAAAGTTCTAAACAATACCCCGAAAATTTTCAACAAAAAACTGAAAATACTTTAAGATTATCAAGCTCATGTACTGACATTTTTTGAGACCCTCATTGAAAACAATAATTTTTACAGATTCAAGTTATCTAACTCATTTAGAATTTTTTTTTAAAAAAGGATATAATTATACCTCGAAAATTGGAGGTTGTTAGGGGATCTTAAACTCCTAATGTTATTGTCTTTTTTATATCTCTGTGCTGACTGTTGAAAAGTTTTAAAATTTCCGCCCAAAAAATTTACAGAAAGGAAAAATAATTCTACACTGATTGAACCTAGTAACGAATTTCTCTCATTGAGGATTCTTAAAGACGAGGATTCTTGAAGACATTCCAAATTGGGCGGTTTGTTCATGAGTTCCGAATAGTCGCACCATTTTACTTTGCTATATAAACAAACTCAAATGAAGTCTTCTCTGGTGCTTTTTACGATTCCTTGTTTTTATTGTTTTGATGTTTTATTTTTGTCTGACCTTTTCTCTTACTAAGATAAATGAGCTGCAGTGATAGTTGTAAAAATCAATCATCCGTCCAGTCATACAACTGGTTCAAAAACACCATTTCAAAACCAATCCCCTAGATCGATCCAGTCTTAAGACATTGTGGAGTCTTCTGGACTCTCATTAATGTTTCATGTCATGCTTACAAAATCAGAGTCATAAACGCCGCATTTTGTCTATCGTATTTAGTCTGCTTTTATACAGTTTTGTCACTGATGAAAAGGATAGCTTCAAATTTTCAAGTGTTTCCATTTTTAAATTTTAGATTTCAATTTATTTTCATTGAATGCGAGTTTGAATACTACGATACTTTAATTTTGGTTATTAACTAAAAGCTAAATGGCGACATCTAAACGAAAGCTCAAACGCCCCTTCACTTCTGGCATAACCGCAAGCAGAAAGGTATTTGTTATTCGGAGATATTAAAGTAGGGATATAACTATTGCAAAGCATCTTTAAGCCTCAGGTCATCGCCACATTTTTTTGTAAAAATTATTTCAATTTAGCTTACTGCTATAAAAATAGATCGCCTAGATTTTTTGAAATTTGGGTCAATTTTTGTAATTTGTTTTACTTTAATTAATTTTTTTTAGATCTTTAATTAAGTATCTTTTTTTTAAATTTTAGATTACTCTATTAAAAACAATCAAACTATAGTTTATTTATTCTTTTATTATGTTATCTGTTAAAAGCTGTATTCCAGTTCCATCCTTCTTTGATATCTTTGAATTTTTTTTGAAAATATTGGTTGATTTAGCAGCATATTTTAGTCTGTCGTTTTAGTTCAACCAGTCGCCCTTCACCCAGACTAGCAGACCGAAGGGACTCCCGGGACTGCCCCCTCTGCCCCCGGATGAGAGCCGACAGCCGAGTGAGTTGTACGAGGCAGTTCTGAAGTACTCCGAACATCCCCCTCTCATGGACATGACGTCATGGACACTGGCATCTCCTTATAAAGAGATAGGCAAACACAGGGGACCCAGTGACGCCATTGCCAACAACTTCACCCCACAAGGTTCAAATAAGTTCACATTTTCAATGCCAGTTGTATAAAATTGGTCTATTTTTACAATGATGTCGTGGTACCAAAGAACTAGTTTTCGCTGTAATTGTTTTTAAAAAACTCAAAGCAATAATTAATACTTATTCGAAACTCATTTGCAACACTATGTCTATTTCGTTAAGAGTTTTTGTGTTGTAATTTTGAGGCTTCAATTGCAACTGGAGTTTCAATTGTCTATCAAATGTTAAGCAAAAATGTATGAGTGTTTTAGCATCGGACTTCCAACTGAAGCGAATGAGCAAAAGTGCTAAAATCGCCAAGAATGGAGGACTGAAACCACCCAATGGGAAAGCACAACTACCCCCCGTCCAGAAGAAGTCGCCCAGGGATACTAAAGTCGTGGTCAGTCGCATTACACACAAGCACTAAATCAAACGCGTTTAAAATTTACATGCTAAACAAAATATCAGTTCAATAAAAAAAATAAAAATATACCGCTGAAAAAATTATGCTGGAAACATTATGACTCAAAAAGTGATCAAATTTGGCTGTATCCCGTTTTAACAATAAAAAAGTGAAAACGGGTTTCAACGTTAATTAACAAATGACAGCAGTTGTTAACAGGACTACCCTCCGAGTTATGCGTTTCAAGAAGAGGACAGACCCCTGTCGCCAGTTGGACAGCTGGACCTGATACAAGAGAAGGAGGGGAGAGAGGACAAACTGCACCCTAAGCCACTAGCCCAGGACCTCCAGAGGTATAATAATCGCACTCAAAAGGAGAATTTGGACCAAATTACAATTCTCCTCACCCTGATTTCCAGAGCGATGTAAAAGGGGGGGGGGTGTGGATTGTTATGTTACCAGCAAAAGAGAAAGATCTAATCTTTAACTTTTAACCAAATAGAATCGAATATTTAACTCAAACTGCCATAATTAAACGCAGAAGATATTTTGGTTAATTTAGTAGGTCAGATTTCAACATTCTCCAAAAATTTCACTGATTGCTGAAGAACGTGGTTGAAATCTGTCAGTGGAAAGGACCTAGCTTTACTTGTTTGCATGTTAATTGAAGTGATGCTCTCTACTGTACATTGGATATCCATTGAAACTCTTTATAATTTTAGCTTGGTAGTTATCAATTTCAATAAAAAAAGGTAAATATCAATAAAAAAGTAAACTTCTTGTGCTGTGTTGTTTTATTACAATTATTAGGATTATGACGTAGCAACCACTTCAAACCTTTTTTTAAAGACTTTGCCTGTTCCGTTTTATTTTTCAGTTTTTTCAGTTCAACGTTTTTTTTTTCAGATACGAGTACTACGTGAAGAATGGTATCAGGTCGGACATGGTAGCCCCCCGAGCAGGAGGGGAGTGGGAGCAGATCGAGAGCCTCATCCCAGAGGCATTCCTTATAGCCCCCCATCTGCAGGACCTGAATGGGGAACTACATGACGAAGTGGACCACGACTACCAGATGAGCATCAGAACCGCCATTGGTCAGCATTATTTTTTGCTTTTTTTCTGTATTTATAACATCAACTATAGAATTAGTGTGCTCATGAAAAATTAGAAGCCTCTTGACACTTATATTTTCTTCGTTTTTGTCGTTTGAAAAAATGTTTTCGTCGTATGAAAAATTAATAATTAACCATTTCATTCCATGAGCTCTCTCAGAGCTTTCTGGATGGCTTTAAAACTGATGTGATAAAAATATAAGTTAAAACGTTTTATCCTAACTTTCGAACTTAAATGGCTTTTTTGATTTCAGTCGACTATATTTTGCTCGACCAATCAGAGCGGACCCGCCTCAACATCAAAGCCACCCAAAGACCCTTCCCAAAACGCACATACAGAGCTCCTGTTCCGTGGCACGATACCTTCGCATACCAGAAGGAATTCTGCGACGAACATGTTCATAGCATCAACGAAATGATGCTCATGGTTCAGAATCTCTGGGAAATGAAGTATAACAAAGTGAGGTTTGTCCGAGTGCCGGACATCAGAGCTGGTGGTTTGCCTATCGTGCCAGAGGAACTGGCAAATTTGATCCAGCAGCACTGCGATGATGCTCAGAATTTATTATCCAAACGGTGAATTATATTTTGTTGTTTAATCAAAAATTACCGGGAAATAACAAATTGAGTATTCAATCTAAAGTAAAAGTTTACTTTTGAATGAAATCTTCTACTTTGAATGTATATGAGCACCGCTTTTGGTAGTTATTTTTTTAGATTTGTTTTTCAAAATATCTTATTAGAGACAAAATGAAAAATATTTTTTTTGTCCAAAAAATCACCGAAAGTATTAAATCCTTGTTTACGTTGTCCCTCAATGTCGGTACTGTCCCACTATTGCGGGTCTCTTACCTATTAATTTGAGAGCTTTCTAACCCACAAAAAACTCACTTCGTTACCAGATCACCCCGATTTTCAACCAATATTAGTGGAATAACTTGTAACATCATGCTTTATAGGTGGCTACCGGAGCTAGCAGAGTTGTTTCTGAAGAACAAATCCAAGTGGGTCCACCTGGCTCCAGCTAGAGAGTCCGACTCACGACAACTCATCCGAGAGTTCTTCGACACAGTGGGAACTCTAATGAGTCGCCAGCTGCGTGAATGCGTCACCAACTCCCTTTCGGATTTCGTCCAGTTTATGGAAGAACACAAAGTACAGTTTGAATACTTAGTTTGAAGTACTTTCAAATTTTTTTATTTACAATTATAGCGCACAGTTTATACCTTTTTTCTTTAACCCCCCATATTTGCTTTTCAAATTAGAAAAGTTAGTTTAACATTGTCATAATGCAAGGAAATTAATCACGTAGAACAAATTAACTTATTAACTAATGTGGAATTATTCTTCATACTCAACATCTTCTCTGAAGACTTATTCTTCATACGTAACACCACGCATTTAGCCATAATAAAACACGTTAAACAAATATGATAACTATTAAAAATGAAATGTGGCAGAGGGATTGGAAAAAAGGCCATTCTATAATCTTGATAGAACCGTCTTATAATCTTGATCTTATTGGACCGAAGTTTTACAAGATTTAGGGACAAAATTATGATGGAATTTTAGGCTGGAAATCAGTACGAGGGCGAGTACCCTGAGCTGCGCTTCAATTTGATTCCCGTGATGAAGGTGAAATTGCTGATAGATGAGCCCAAAATAGTGATCGAGCCCACATTCAGAGACGTCAAAGAACTTATTCATCAGAGCATCATTGGTGCGTCAGGGGTTCCCTTTACTAGCCCTTTACTAAGCATTATCCAGCCGAAATCATTATGATTGCGTTATAAAACTGAAGTATAGGCGTTTTTCCGGAATTTTTATCAGAATTTATTTATATCGACGTGTGTTATGATAAACATCTTTTAAAGCAAAATTTGACACCACCGCAAATAATCATCAACTGGAGTCGATGATTAATCAAATTTAAATATTTTCAAGAATAATGCATTCAGAATGTAGAAGTTTCAAAAAATTGTCTAGAAAACAGAAAAGCCGAAATAAAATTTTAGTTTTTAGACGAAACATAGATGGAGGTCACTCTTCATATTGATTAATTTTTAAAGGTTGTTGAGATTTCTTATTATATTTTAATGCAGCAACTGGTAGTCTGTTCTGAGGCAGCTTTTAGTCCCTCCCAAAAAAGGTAAAAACAAAAAAAGTCAAAATTAGGCCACAGTTTTGATTAAAAAAGTGTACATTTTATCAGAAACCGTATGTGATTACTTACGTCATTCCATTGCTACATACAAAATACACGTAACATCATTCGAACAGCAAATCAACGGTAAAATAGTGACCGCTGCAGTCGCGCCAACGTGTTGCGAGCTTGCCGACAGAGGGTAGGACTCTTTATGAAAATTAGAGCCAGTTATCGCCGCGAAGCGGCGATATGTACGTAGCGCTCACCGGCGACCTTGAGACGACAAACGGATCTGTAGTGTTTAACCGCTTCTTATCAATTTCGTCTGGAAAATTAGGGGGATTTCTGCTAAAATATACACTTCTATTATCAAAATTTTCGCCTAAATTTAACACTTCTATTTTCGCCTAATATAATTTTCGCCTTGTGTATACAGCCCCATCAAAAAATAACTAGATAATGAAGTTCTGCTCATACGAATTGCGTGCTTGCTATTCTTGAGACCCGAACATTTTATGAGACCGCCGGGGTGCTATACCCGCCAACTTTGGGTGGTCAGGGGGTCGAATTCTTGGAGGAGATTAGGAGGGGGGCTAAATCCGCTTCTGCTCGATAATGCGAAACCGAATAGTTAACAATATCCATTTTCAAATTAACACAAAAACTGCGGGATCCCTGTCTCAAATTTAATGTTACAAGGGAACAACTATCACTTGCACTCTTCGAGAAACCGAGTTCTAACATCTTGCGCGTCGCGTTTCAAAGATCTATTTTTTTCAAGGTTGAATTTTATCGAGACTGTTTGCGTGTAGCATGAGGGGGGTGTTGTTTCAGAAATCCTACACAAGGGTGACTCCATTCCGCGGCTGGAGTGTGAGCTGTTTCCGGATGTGAAGGGAAAGCCGTTCTTCCTCCGTCCAGTCAGGCTAGAGGAGGCACTGGTGGGCGAGTATGTTGAGAGGGCATTTGAAGTACTCCGAATCAACACACCCGGACCACAGAGGTAATCACACAGCCACCAGAAAAAACTAAATCATACTCAAGGGGGACACCCTCACCGCTAATGTTAGGATTAGGGTCGGTCAATCGACAGTGGATGTAAAATAAAGCCAAAGGGGGACCAAGTTAACACCCCCCCCCCCCTAAATCCATTTAGGGGGGAGGATGTTAACTTGGTTCTGAGTTCAAATTTTCGGCCAATCAGAATAGAGCATTTTACATGCAGCGCTAGGTAGATTTAAATTAAAATGAACGCTGGGGTGGAGGATCTTAACTTGGTCTATTTGGGGGGAGGATGTTAACTTGATCCAATATTAGTTTTCAGGTAAAGGAGAGCCGAGGGCGCGTTGAAAAGGTGCTCTTTTATGACAATCCCACCTACAAGTGGCATTCAAAAAATTGTCACACAATATGCCGATAACTTCCGACTCTGCTAACCAATTTTTCTGCTCATTGCTTGTTCTGGTGAATTCCCATAGGTTCCAAGATTCATAGGTTCCAAAATAAAAAATCAGTCGCATAAGTTCCAAAATTTATCTTCTTGAATTCTGATTGGTTGAAATTTGAGCCAACGAATTTATGGATTGATTGTTTACTGTTCAACCAGCATAAACTCAAGCTGCACAATAGTGACCTCCGCAGCCGCGCCAACGTGTTGCGAGCTTGCCACCAAAGGGTAGGACTCTATACGAAATTTAGAGCCGGTTATCGCCGCAAAGCGGCGACGCGCGCCTAGCGCGCCCACCGGCGACCTTAAACCGAGACTCGGCTAATGTAGTTTTTTGACCAATTGGAAAGATTTGGAACTTATGCGACTGCTTTTTTATTTTGGAACCTATGGGACTGATTTTTCATTTTGGAACCTATGAATACGCACCGCTTGTTCTACATATTTGAGCCAATCAGAATAAAGCATTATCGTTTCATAGTCGAGATTTCATAGTCGAGATTTCGCACGCTAAGACGAAATAAAATATTTCGAACTAAATTTATTTTTGACTAATGAAAAGATCTTATGAAACTCCGAAAACTAGTTAAAATTACCGGGTGCCGGACATCAAGCCGACGGGACTTCAAGCCGAATGGTAAAATTAGGGACTTCAAGCCGAATAATTCCTTATGAAGTCGTGAAATATGAACAATTTGAAAACTTTTTTGAAGAATTTTTGAATTTCATGATCTTTCTTCACTAGTTATTGGCGTTTGCATATAATTTAAGCCTCCAAATGATGTTCCGGAAAGTTGAAAAGTAAAACATGGTTGAAGGCATTTTTCATTGTTATAATTTATGCATTTCAAAAACCGACTGATATTATTAACGGATGCGAATCACAAGTGGTGCATTGTCATGAATAACGCTTATTATGCATTAACTTGCCAAAATTTTAGAAAAGCAACATTTTGCAGATGATAAAAAAGCGTTTTGGGGTGCTTGTAAAGTTTTAATTTCGGCTTGAAGTCTCTTCGGCTTGAAGTCCCGTCGGCTTGTTGTCCTAGACCCAAAATTACCTTCTATATTGATTACAAGTTATACAGTAAACTAATTTTCATACAAGCCTATCTTTTATTTCAAGTTATCTGACCTGGTGCAAGAAGTATCAGGATCTGCTAAATGGAAAATCGGACAGCGAAGTAGTCAGCTTCTTGAAAACGAGACACGACATAGACGACTACGAGCGCAAATTGCGAGAGATACAGGCCCTCAAAGACGAAATAGCTCTTCTGAGGATCACAGCCGACTTCTCACTGTACCAGCTGGATCTGAAGCAGTTGAATCAGGACTTGCAGAACAGAGTGCAAGCCTTGAAGGACAAAATTGTCACGAATGAAGTGAAACACAACAGGAATTTGAACAGAGAGTGAGTTCATTCGTCTTTTGAATTAGATAGACGAGATTTTTTTGATGTCAAGAATCGTATTTTTTTCGAGCGACAACATATTTCGTTTTTGATGTCGATATCAAAAATCAGTTGTTTTAAACAGCAAAACAAACTTTTTTGATGCCATAATCATGTTTTAACTTAACAGCAAGACAAACACTTATTCTGATGTCTACAAGCGGATCTCTTTGACTATATCCCCCCTTTTGCAAAAGAGTGGATATTGGTTGCTAGGTACCAGAGGGGGATATAGCTAAAGAAATCCCTACAATCAGGGGCGGATCTAGTATTTTCTCGAGGGAGGGATTTTCAAAAATTGTTCGAAAAATTTGTCGACCTTTTTTTATATCGACCAAATTGATTTTTCGAGCTCTCCCCCAAAGCACTAAAAAGTCCCTGATTTGGCCGAACTTTTTGCACCGCAGGCAAAATTTTGTAAAAACATTTTAAAAAATGCGTTTTTGGCACTTTTTGGAAAGATTTGACCAAAAAATTGCGTTTTTTCGGCGCGAACACCCCCCTCAAAATTAGTATGTATTGGCGCCGAAGACGTCTGTAGAAAACTTTTAGGGTCCGTCACCAAAAATGGATATTTCAAAATATTACATAGTACAAAGGGGGATCCTTTGGGTCAGCAGTGGGTCGAATCCCTGAGGAGAAGATGGGGAAGGTCCACCCCCCCCCCCTAAATCCGCCCCTGCCTACAATCCTGTTTTATTTTTACGTAAAAGACAAAACAAACTATTTTTTATAAAGTTAAAAATCGTGCTTTTTACTTACACCCAAGGGCGGATCTAAGATTTTCTCGAGGGGGGGGGGGATTTTCAAAATTTTGCCGACCTTTTTTTTAGGTCGACCGAATTGATTTTCCGAGCTCTCCCAAAGTACTGTTTTGATCAAATTTTCTGCGCTGCAGGCAAAGTTTTGAAAAACAGGCCAATAAAGGCGTTTTTAGGCACTTTTAAGAAAATTTTGAACAAAAAAAATTGCGTTTTTTTGGCGCGAGCTCCCCGTTTAAAGTAAGTATATATTGGCGCCAAAGGCGCCTTTAGAAAACTTTTAGGATCCGTTACCAAATATGGATATCTCAAAATAGTATAAAGGGGGGACCCTTTGGGTCGGCAGGGCGTCGAATCCCTGAAACGGGAGCGTCCGCAACCCCCCCCCCTAAATCCGCCCCTGCTTACACCAAACAAAATTCATAATGGCTGTGAATCATGAATCATCAAGAATCATGCTTTTTTGATCTAGCGACAAAACAATTTTCATGGGTCTGCTCAACAATCTCCTCCGTTCTCCTCTCAAGAAAGGGGGAAGATTGTTAAGTAGATTGAGTTAGTCAAATTTTTGACCAATACAAAACTCTAGTGCCAATTAACTGTTTTTAATTATAGAGACGTAGACTGTTAACTAGATTCAATTTCTCTTTGTCCTCTCCGTGATTATTTGCCCATTGCGAAGGTTAGAATAGATTCAATACAGGGGCGCATTTCGGGGAGAGGGGGGGGGGGGAAGGCGTATGCACACCCCCCCCCCCCCTCAGGGATTCGACCCCATGCCGACCCACAGGGTCTCCGCTTTGTACTTTTTTGAAGCATCCAATTTTGGCTGACTGACCTTGAAATTTTTCTAAAGTCGTCTTCGGCGCCAATTATACTATTTTTAAAGTCAAAATTGAGTTTTTGGTCAACTTTTTCCAAAAAGTGCTTAAAAACACCTTCGGATCTCTTTAATTATATCCTTTTTTTTGCAAAAGGGGGATATCCGTTACTAGGTACCAGAGGGGGGATATAGCTAAAGAAATGCCCAGAATCATGTTTTAGTTTTACTTAAAAGACAACTTTAGAGACAACTTTAGTTTTACTTACTGAAAATCAAAAATCGTGCTTTTTTACTTACACCAAACAAAATTCATATTGGCTGTCAATTATGAATCATCTAGAATCATGCTTTATTAATTTAGCAACAACACAAATTTCATGGGTCTACTCAACAATATCCTCCCTCCACCTCTCAAGAAAGGGGGGGGGGGAGATTGTTAAGTAGATTAATTTAGTCAAATATTTGGCCAATACAAAGCTCTAGTGCCAAATAACTGTTATTTTTTTATTATAGAGAGGGAATCTGTTAAGTAGATCCAATTTCTCTTTGTCCTGTTCGTGATTGTTTGCACATTGCGAAAGTTAGAATAGATATAAAAACAGGGGTTGGTTTCGGAGGTGGGCGGGGGCATCTTTTATCTTTTCCGAATCTTTGTTCGAAAAAGATAAAAGTATGCAAATTGAGAAAAAAAATTGCGTTTAAATCTTGGAAAGAGAGTTGTTTAATGAGTTTTAATCAAGTGCTTTATGAATTCTTTTCCAGTCTTTGCCAGAGGTATGGGCAGATCCAGTCCAAGTTGAATGAGATCCCGGAGTCAGTTGAGCACTTGGTGGAGCTGACCACTTTCACTCTAGAGACCAACGACAAGACTGTGTTTGCACTCCTACGAGAAGTTCAAGTCAGTGCCTATTTTTATCAATGAAATTATTACCAGCTGGTTGAAATTTTAAGAGCTGAGGTCTCTAGTTAGGTTCTTTTAGAAAGCATCGACATTTAAACTCTTCAACCTTTTGTATGCGAAAAACAACTGTAGTATCTCTGGTTACAATTTATAAGAAATTTTTTATAATAAAAGATGTACCCTGCCAAAATAACCCTGTCATATACCTTAAAAAGCAGTTTTAAGACATTTGGTCGTTGTTCTTGGCTTTTGGTACATAGCATGAGTTTAATAAATCCATCAAATGTCAAGTTGGCGTGTTCGTTGTCAATGTGATTGTTGTATAGGACGCTCAAGACCGTCTCATGTTCCTGCTGGACTACGCCGCCTTCGCCCAGGAAGACCTGGACAAGAATGCAGAGGTGTTCAGCTGGCCGGCCAAGATCAACGATGACCTGAAGTTGAACCAGGAGAGGTTTGAGGAGTTGAGGGAGACAGGGGAGGATAAGTTGAGAAAGAGAAGGAGTAACTTCGAGAAGAGACTGGATAGTATTTACAAGGAGGTCGAGTTGTTCAAGAAGAAAGATGTAAGTTCACTTTCTTTTATGTCGACAAATCAAATTTGGGGACCGACCGGCCTATTAGCATATGCGTCGATTAGCATGCCCATATAAAAGAATGTAGTTTGAAGATTCGCCATTTCTCGTTATGCTTTTTCAAATTTGCAATTTTCAACAGCGTGAGCTTAGCCGAATGCACACATGCTAATCGCTACACCCCCATCAAATTTAAATTAATCAAACATCAAAGAGCTTTTTTTGGCTTCCCGCGCCAAATTTGTTCACACCAGTTTTGATTGTTCGCCGCGGTTTGATTTTTGATTTCTTTTTAGGTTCATTTCAAATTTATTTGCTAAAAGAAGGCAAATTACGCTTTCAATAGCGAAAACGGAAATGGCCGAAAAACGTGAACCTCTCGAAAATGGATTTCATTTTTTTTGAAATTTACCAGCAGATTAGAAGATTCAACTTTTGATCCTGTTTCTCAAATAATTTATCAAAGAAAAGTTTCATTTATATTTTGTTTGAAACTTAAGTAGCTTTAAGTTCATCTAATCTTTTGAAATTCGAAGAAGTTGAAGTTTCTTCAAAAAACATTCAATCATTTTTTCCCGGTTTTCGTGCGTTCATTGACACTTTTCCAAGTGTCTGTTGCTGTATTTCCTTTTTCAACGATTAATGGTAGCCAGAACGTCTGTGTTAACGCTTCTCTTATTGTTCAGACTGACTTTTCTTACAAAGTGAAGTAACAACTATCACTAGAGAGTAAAAGCGGAGAAAACTGTTGTCCATCTTTTTTCAAGTGTTCCTCTGATTATTGAATGTGGTTCTAACATTATGTGCTACTTGCACAACAACCGCCGGCTTTTCAAAATAATTAGTACCAGTTTGAAGACCTCTCGCTATCATTTGATGTCTGTTTTTTAAAAACAGCTGGTGTGTTCTAAATATTTTGGTTTAATTAATATTCAATTTAGGGAATGAGAAACGGGGTAAGATCACAAGTGTTATGCAGATATGTCTTCGCACTTTGTTCCTTACTTTGTTCACGCTCAATATATTGTCACAACGATGAATCTCTGTAACTGTTTCCCCCCATGGGGGCGAAAATTGTTAACTATCTTCCCCCGCCTACTGCAAAAGAGGAGAACTCGTTACCAGGTCCAACATTAGGATATGCTTAACCACTGAATTAGTCATTCATAGAGGTGGGGTGTTGGTTTCTAGTTTACCATCGGGGGAAACGTTATAGAGGTCCACACCGAGTAGTCACCCCATATTTGTGATATGTTGATACTAGTTTGCGATATTCTCTATTGTAGTTGACAAATTTTTGTCTCGCGTTCGGTGAGCTTAAACATTTTTTTTCAGAAAAAATTTGTCTGATAATTGTAGCAAAATTATGAATTGTGAAAGCAAATTGAATTTCGATTTTTCGATAATCAATTTTTAAGTGGTTTCAAGACCTCTGTTTTTGTAGGGTCGTATCGTGTAATGTTTGATAGTTTTAAGAATATATTGTTCACATTTTTGTGTTTTTCGTTCATTGACTGACATCTGACCCCATGTTTTAGATTCTGAGTCAGGACGAGATGGAGGTGAATGTAAGCAAACTGGGTGAGCTGGAGAAACAGATCGAGGCATGCAGAGACGAAGCAGAGCAGATTAACGATGCAAGTCACTTTTTTAATATTTCTTTTAAAGTCTCCTTTCAATTTTGGTGTTCCAATTTGCTTCACAGTTAGGGTCACATTGTTCGGTCGGGAAATGGTGGGTACATTTTAGTCTTGTTGTTCCGACTTTCGATACGAAAGTAACGGAATATTTGTGCTCGGGGTGGGTTTTTTTTTCTTCAGACAAAGTTCGACTTTTTAACTAGCCATTTTTGACGGAATTTTTTATATCATTCGAAAGGTATTGTTGTCCTGAGCTCAAATTTGAAAAGATATTTCACCTGTTATGGGGGTTTAAAGATTGCCATTTTGGCCAATTTGGGACAATTAACGCGCGATATACCTCGCGCTACTAACGCGTAAGCGGAGAGTTAATCCGTCTTAGAAATCGTTCCAAATTGGCTGAAAGAAGCTTATTTGCCATAATTGATTTGTTACAATGAGCGAAATCTATCCTTTTGTACTTTGTATGGCGTGTGGGGTGATGATTTTCATAAAAAATTTCAAATTTTAGAAAAAAATTTTTCATTTTATTTTTTGTTACATTTAATTTTTTAATGCTATTACTCTCCATAAACCTTAAAAGGCAGTCGGAACATTCAGGGCTTCGCCCTGATACGAACAGTCTTGTTATATTTAAGTCTTCTGCTTTTGATACTATTTGCTACTTCTTTGAGGCTATTTTTCTTCAAACGTTTTACGCGCGACTCCGAAATTTGATAGATGTTATAATTTTACTGAGCAACCTAAGAGCAGTTTAAGAAAAATTAAATGATTGTTCCGACTTTCGATACGAAAGTAACGGAATATTTGTGCTCGGGGTGGGTTTTTTTTTCTTCAGACAAATTTCGACTTTTTAACTATTTTTGACGGAATTTTTTTATACCATTCGAAAGCTATTGTTGTCCTGAGCTTGAATTTGAAAAAAATATTTCATCTGTGATCATTTTTCGTAAATTATGAGGGTTTAAAGATTGCCATTTTGGCCAATTTGGGACAATTAACGCAGTCTTGTTGGTTTTTATTACGTAAAACAATGCCCGGCTTTGTTTGGCTGGACAGCAAGTTAGTTTTTTGAATAAATAAACACATCATCCATGAATTCAAGAACAATACTCTAATTAATGAGTTGTCTTGTTTATTGATAGGAGGAGAAATTGTTCGAGTGGGAGACTACTGCGTTCCCGGTGATCAACGAGATCGTGGCTCTCAAAGATCCCTTCGAAAAACTATGGACAAACAGTCTCAACTTCCATAACTCACACGAGAAATGGATGAACGGTACCATATACTCTTATACTCTTTGTTCAATTTGAAAATCCGACTCCTCCTAAGAAAGTCATTACTGAGCCCAAAAGTGACATAGTGACGTTGCTGTGTAATGTGAAAAAACAGATTCCCTGGTCTTTTTCGATTGCGAATTCCAATGCCAAAGTGTTTCAGGAGCCTTCCTTGGTCTGGACTCGGAGGTGATCACTGAGGAAGTAGGGAACATGTGGAGGACTCTCTACAAACTGAGCAAGAGTCTCCAGGACCAGGGACCCCAGAGAGTGGCAGTGCAGCAGAAGACTAAAGTGGACAAGTTCAAACAGTACCTGCCCATCCTCACTGTCATCTGCAATCCAGGTCTCAGAGACAGACACTGGAAGGCCGTAAGTTGAATTAGTTTTTTGATCAGCCATTGTGCTAGCGATGTACAATGCTTGTAGTTTTTATAACAAACTTTCTGCAGAATCCAGTTTTGTTTTCTTCAGAATACTATAGCAGCTGCTTTTTTCAGATGAGTGACATCGTTGGCTACAACATCAAGCCAGAGTCCGACTCTACTTTGTACCAGATGATCGAAACTGGAATCGGAAAGTCAATTGAGAAGTGAGTGCATGTTTCAATTTTTAAGCTGCGTATCGAAGCTCGTAAATGTGCTTGGGTATCAGTAAGTTCTTAAAATGGGGCTCCAATTGTCAAAATCAGTGTGTAAAAGGAAACCGACATATGAATCAGTTGAAAATGAGCAAAGTAATTCTTGCTTAATAAAAACAGGAATTCTGAAAATGTATGGGGTTTGATTTTGTATTTTTTTCTAAAAGCTTTGGAAAACGTTTTCACTTTTCCAAAAATTTAAGTTTTCTCAGACTAATTTACCAATTTTTCAAAAAATTGGTCCCAAGAGACGGACCGCCTACTCACTTTTGCGCCTGCTTCCCTACTCTCTTTTCACCTTACCCCACTTTTTACAGCCTTCAAAAACTCATTGGTGGTATGTTTGAGCCATATTTTTGGATTTGTTTTTTCACTTTCTCACAAACTAAACAGAAAAGTGTGAATTTTTAGATTCAGTCGAAACAACGGGATGGGGGAATTTCTTCTGCATAAACGGCTAAGCCCAATTTTTTACAGAAATTTTAATGACTCCCGGAAAAGTCAAAGTTTTGTTTTTTACCGTTTTTTGAAACTTTTTTACTCTTCCCAAAAACTACCGTCACAAATCTCTGAGATTTTGGAATCAATCGAAGTAATTGGTTGAGTGAAGTTCCCCTGAATAAACTGCTATGCCCAAATTGTTTTTACACAAAAGGTTAAAGCTCTAAGAAAAGTCAATTATTGACTTTTGATCTTTTTTGAATTTTTTAAAAAACTATTTTTCTTGAAATTACCTCCCAAATCTTAAATTTTGGACTATATCGAAAGAATAAGCTGTGGAATTTTCCTCCGCATAAACAATTTATCCCAATTTTTCTACATAAAAAGTTATGGCCCTTTTGAAAAGTCAGTTTTTTTGATTTTTTGACCGTTTTTTGAGGTTCAATCGAGAAACTGTCTTGGGTATTCTAACGGTGTGAGAGAAGTTTGCCCGAATTTTTTTAGAAAAAAAAAGTTCTGTCATTCAAAAAATTCAAGTCCGTTTTTCGAAACTTTTTGACTTTTCTCGAAACCACCCTGCATTTCTTAAGTTATGTGTTCAATCGAGAAACTTCCTGTGAGAATTTTCTCGACATGAACGGGTGAGACTCAATTTTGTTGAGAAAAAATCAAAGTTTTTGGTAAGGTCAAATTTGTTGTTCTAGGAAAAACTCAGTAAACAAGCAAGCCTTATTGTTCCAACTTTCCAAGAAAGTTACAAATTTTTTGTGCTCGGAGTGGTTTCGACTATTTAACTAGCAAATTTTGACAGATTTTCAAAAACAACCGAAAATTACTGTTGTCTTGAGCTCAAATTTGCAATGATATTTCACCTGTGATCTTTTTTCGTAAAGTTATGGGGGCTTAAAGATTGCCAATTTGGGACGATTAACGTGCGATTTATTTCGTATTATTAACGCATAAGCGGAGATTTAATCCGTAATAGAAATAGTTCCGAATTGCGGCATGCGTTTTGGTCTAGTTAATACTTTGGATTATGCAAAATGTATTATTTTATACTTTACATAGCGTGTGGGAGGATGATTTTCAAAAAAAAAGATATCGAATCAAATTTTACATTTTTAAATCAAATTTCATCAATTATTTCATTTTGAATTTTCTCATAGAAATTACAACGCAGTCGAAACATTCAGGTTTTCGCCCTGATACGACTAGTTTTGTTAACTTTTGTGTCTGTTTTTTGGAAACTTTTTGACTTATCTCAAAAACTAATCCACGGAACATATTGCGAGTTTTTTTCCTGAAGAAGTGGCGACTTCTTTTTTTTGCAAACGGTCTAATCTTATATTTTAGTAGAGAAACAACTAAGCTTTAGGGTAAAATCCAATGTTTGAAATTTGAAAGCTACGCATTTTATCTCACATCATTACAAAATATTTATAAAAATATCAAGCATGTACGTCCGGCTTTAGCTGGACCCCTGGTTAAGCCATTCGAAAATGCTTCATTTTTATATAATTCTGCATTTTATTAGACAGAATGATTACATAAATCTTCTGGATAAATAATTGGCAACTTCTTACCTTTTTGGCTGGCTTATACACAAATTAGATGCACTCTAGATTGAAAAAAGCACTCATTTGCTGATAAAAGAAGCTAGTGTACCTTTTTTGAGTCGTGATATTGACTAAACGTATTGTATGTTATAGACTGGAGGAGATCAGTGGGGGTGCTTCGAAGGAGTACTCTCTAGAGAAGGCCCTGGAGAAGATGAAGAACGAGTGGAAGGAGATGCAGTTCGAAATGATACCTTACAGAGAGACTGTTAGTATAAATCACCCACGCCGTGGTTCCGAGAAAAGAGAGATGATAATCAGTTCATTTCCCAAATGCATTTTTATAGATAAAAAATTCCAAATTTTGTCACAAAATTGACTTTTAATGAGAGTAAAAAGAGAACACTTTTGATGCTATTCAACCTTGCGATAAGCAATGGGGCTCTTTTTCCTTTTACCCCACCTGCAAATTTTTATATGTAAAATTACTGTTTCCATGTATTAATTTTTTTTTCCGTAAAAAACTTTGATCACAAGATTTTACTTGTGAAAATTACACGTGTTTCAATTTAGTTCATAATAAAATCAAAATCAGTTTTTATCCAGTGCATCTGGCGCTGTACCTGTTTTTTCCAAACAAGGAGTTTTCTGCCTTTTCTGTTTATCATCCGTGTTTCTTTTTGTCGGCTTAGTTCCCGTAGCACGGACTATTTTTGAAGGTTCAGCAAATTTAAAAAAAAAAACTTTTAATAATATTAAATAAAATTTAAAAACATTTTTTTTTTGTTTGAACATAGTGATTGCTCTTATTTAAGTGATTTGTTTTTTTTAAAGGAAAAAGCCTAAAATTTTGTTTACTCTCTAATTTGATTTTTCGCGGCTTGACTAATTTTTATTTAAATTCAGTTCATTTCTTTTGTTAAGAGGAAGGCAAACTCCACTGAACAGCAAAAGTGTATGCTAACAAAAAACGTGATCGACTTCTCGACTTATTGCGTTTGTGAGTTTTATCTTTTAGATTTGCCCGGAGGAACAAAATAATTACCTAATCAACCAGTTTTCTCAAATTGTGTTAGTTTTAGTAATAGGTGAACCAGTTTTCCTAATGAACGAGTTTTGTCAAATTACCTATTGAACCAGTTTTTTCAACCAAGGTTAGTTTTAGTACAAGGTGTACTACAAACTTGTGTTCTCTTACTGACACTGTTGAATTTTTTTATGAGCTTTATACCAAACCCACGCGAGAACGTCAAGCTGGTTTTCTGTTCTGATGACCAAAAACTTTTACACTTGGTCCACATCTGATTGAATTACAGACACCAGTGCATTTTACCTCAAACAGCTAAGAATGACTTACAAATGGGCGTACATATCTCTCTTGTAAACCAATCAATAATGATTCGAACACACGGTCCACATCATTAAAATTACCCACTAATTCATTTTGCTTCAATGCATTAAATGAATAACTTAGGCACGCACAGCTCTTCCTTGAAGACCGATCTATACCAATTACTCCGTTGAAGTGAGTTTTCGAAAGTAAAGTCGGTATTGGAGTGTATCGACTTGACACATCGAAGAATACAAAAGATCTAAGTCTGACCTAAGACTACTTGTTCACGTTTGATACAAATACTTAAAAAAAGTTTGTGCACAAATTCAGATCAGAATTAACATCTCTAAACACATGAAAATACGAAATGTAGTTGCCAAAACAAAATACTACCCCTTCGCCATCAACCAACATTTGCGCGTTGAAATACAAATCATTGCCCCTATTGCTATAACTGGTCGTGTTAAATTTACCAATTTTGATCATTCACACGATGAATAGAAAGATAGCCGTTTTCAAGATAGTAAGGAAAAGTTAACTGAACCGTTTTAACCTGGAAGCTTTTTTCAGAAGGTCTGGCCACCTAGGAACAAAAAGCGTTCGAAATTTGAAATCAGCATTGAAATCCGATTACGAAAAAATTAGTCCAAACTTATGTCAGCCAGTTCAGTTTTGAACCTATATCAATTCCTAGGATTTTAAACCAGAGTGTTGTTGAATGTCCTCAAACACCTGTATAACTGCATAGTTTTGAGAAGTTACCCTTAAAGCCACCCCGGTATTTTTTTGGAATAACTAATCCTAGAATGAATATCGAAGAAGAGAAGAAGTCTCACTTGAGGCCAGTTTCTCACTCCCACAGATCCACTCCGGCTTTTCTCCCAAGCTGAATTATTTTTTAAACAAGATCGATCCAAAAGTGGGAATTACATGCGTTGTTATTTTTTGAATTTTTATGAGCTGTTGATTGGTCTCTGTTCATGGACTAAGCCCTTTAACTTAGCTCACATAGCATTTAGTGCGCGTGAATTTAGCTCCCTCTAAGATTTATTTAGCATAAAAGAAAATGCTTTGACCTCATAAAGGCATAAAGAGCGCAAGAACAATTTAGATAAAGCACAGCGTTAAAATGATATGTATGTACCCGAGATCAGTGGCTCACCTAACCGATCCCATCGGATGCCAATAATACTGAAATAAAACGTGACACACTGCAAAACTTATTCGATAATAAAATGAACAAATGGTCGTCAAGAGAGCCCATGAGGCTACAACAACATTGATAAGTGAGTCCGTATAATTTGTTAAGTTAGTATATATTAGCTATATAGAAGCGCTGAGAAAAAACTCAGAGCTCGTTGGCCTAGAATATATATATATATATATATATATATTCTAGGCCAACGAGCTCTGAGTTTTTTCTCAGCGCTTCTATATAGCTAATATATACTAACTATGGTGTTGTTTTACATTTTTAGAAAAACGCAGAAATCTAAGTTAATCAACTTAATAGAAAAAAGTTAACAAATTTTTTTCAAAGCCTTGCCAAAATCCTAGATCCACACTTGAATTTACTATCAGGATACAAAATCGGAAAAAAACAATGAGTTAATTGCTGTTCTCTTTTTAGACGAAAACAAATTATAAGGACTCACTTATCAATGTTGTTGTAGCCTCATGGGCTCTCTTGACGACCATTTGTTCATTTTATTATCGAATAAGTTTTGCAGTGTGTCACGTTTTATTTCAGTATATATATTTTATGAAATAAAACGTGACACACTGCAAATCTATATATATAGAAAAGTGAAAAAGGTACCCTTTGGACCACAATGGTGTCGAATGTCTGTCTCTCCCCCAATAATTGTTCCCTTGGAAATATCCATGTTTCAGCGTTGCTTTTACGCAGTTTCTTTGAAACGGATGTTAATACTTTGAGTCAAGCTGATTTTTCAAGTTTTTATTACGGTTGTTTCCAATACTATCATTAACCATTTATAAGAGTGCGACCTTCCTTCCCACTCCGTCTTTGCTATGTGCAACATTGGCGTAAGATTTTACTCTATATTAATTATTAAAGAAAGAAGAATGAAGAAATGAGAGTAAATTATTGATTCTGCGTGCCTTTGTACCTGCGTAGGTCATATACCTTTCTGTTTTTTGTTTATGCGACTTGGAAAGAAAAGATTGATTGGATACGCTCTGTTATTCCATGGTCTCCAAAAACTCTTCAAACTAAAATTGTATTCAAATCGCAGTTGCCATGATTGTAAAAGGAGATATTCTGTTTAGAAAATAAATGTTTCAGTCCAATTTAAGCTTAATTTTTTTTTCAAAATTGACCCATGTTTAAATTATCTTTTTCAACGTGAGAAAATTCACAACCCAAAACCAATTTCATGGAACAATGGAGCAAAAAAATGGATTTCTTTGCAAAAAATATTTGAGAAAACATCTCATTAAATTGAAAAATAAAAGCTAATTTTGATTAGGGCGTGTCCATTTTGTCTGCAATTGACGACATCCAGATGTTGCTGGACGACCATATAGTCAAGGCCCAGACTATGTGTGGATCTCCCTTCGTCAAGTTCATGGAGGACGAAATGAAGGCGTGGGCAGACAGATTAGTCCTCATACAGGACATCTTGGATCAGTGGCTGAAGGTGGGTCTGATTTGTAGTTTTTGTTATTGCTGGAAAACACTACATTTATGTCGGTTAATGTACAGTGGTTTCAGTGCCAGGCAACTTGGTTGTACCTGGAGCCTATCTTCTCCTCCGAAGACATCATCGCTCAAATGCCCGAAGAGGGACGCAAATTTGGAATCGTCGACACTTACTGGAAAGATATTCAAAGTAAAAATGACGTCATTGAGCATTACTCGGCACTTTATCACTTACATTTATCACTACCAACTTTTCCGAGTGGCCGTTGTCTATGTTTCCTCATTCAGTTTTCAACTTTAGTTTTCTTGAAATTTCTGAACATTTAGTTTTGTCAATCGGCACTTTTGATTAACCACATTGTATAATCGTCATAAATGTAAAAGAAAATTAACTGACAAAATTGTTTTTCATACCTTGCATCGTATTATCATTTATCATGCATTCAGTAATTTTGCACGTAAAACTATTTTAACTTTTTTTTTGGCCCGCGAAAATAGAAAGTTTTTGTGACAGGAGAAGTAAAAAAAAATAGTTCGTTAAATTCATTGTTTTGAGAACATTTTAGAATGATGAAAAATTAGTTTCGTCTTGTTTTGATTTTAGGCGAATCGGTGAAGGACACTCATGTGTTGGCGGCCACAAGTCAGTCTAACATGTTGGGCAGACTGACGGAAGCAAACAAACTGCTGGACGAGATCCAAAAAGGACTAAATGACTATCTGGAAAAGAAGCGACTATTCTTCCCGAGGTGAGCAATTCTGATCCGCACGCTTTCAATTTGAACCAATTTTTTTTTGTATAATCCACTCGGCTCCAAACATTTGAAATATGTTTCTAGCTCAAATTTGAAAAATATTCAACCCTGATTTTTGACCTGATGTATTTAGAACGATTTTTCATCAGTTTGAAGGTTGTCAATTTGGGATAAATTTAGGAAGATCAAATTTAGCCCAATTTTAGAAAGGTTTTTCATCAATTAAGAGTGTTTGAAGATTGTCAATTTGGGATAAGCTCGGGCAAAATTTATACTTTTTGAAAACCCTTGGGTGAGAATTAATCGACCTCAGAAATTTTAACTGATCACAATAATGCGTTGATAGATGCAACATTTATCGTTTTGAACTTCAGATTACGTGTGATATAATTTTCAGAAAACCATTCTTTGCCAAAACCATTCTTTGCCAAAACTAGATTATTAAAGTTAAATGGCAGTCGAAAAAATCAGGAGTTCCCCTGATAGCTGCGGTCTTTTTGTTTCGACTTTTCGCGCGAAGCGAAGGGAGTGTTTGTGCTCGATGTGTTTTTTCTTCTTGAAGTCTTTTGAACCTTTTTTTTTGGTTTTCTGCTCAGGTTTTTTGGTTTTGTTACTGCTCTGTAATTTTGTACTGTCTTGGCATATATTTTTTTTGCCTCAAACCAGTTTTTTTATATAGATCTAATTTTTTTTACTTTTTATCCATATTTAAATTTTTTTTTTCGATTTAGCGACTTTTTGTATTGTATCGCAAGTAGTGCGAAGCTCTGCTTTGCCTCAGTGTCGTGGCTCAGCTCAAATTTATAAAAGTATTTCTACTGATTTATTTGTTTTGGGAAGTTATGGTGGTTTGAAAAAAGCGAATTTGGGACAAATAACGCGATATATATCGTACTATTAAAGCGATAGATTTCGTACTAATAAAGTGTAAGCGGTGATTTGATTCGGCTCAAAAATTGTTCCAACTTGATTTGAGTTCAGCGATTTAAATTTATTCGTACATTGATAGACGCGAATAACATAACTTTGTACTTTGTTTTCAAAAACGGTGGGAAAATTTTCAAAAAAAAGTCCGCAATTTTTATATATTTAGTTTTGAAATTTCACCAATTTTTGAATTTCTCATAACAATGACTCCTTCCTTAGACCTTAATAGCTTGTTGGAACATTCAGGGCTTTGCCCCGATTCGTGCTGTCTTTTTTCTCCAAAATTCAAAAGTTGACAAATTATTTTGAAAAAATCGTCTTTTTTTTCTGCTTTCTTGAGTTCATTAGTTTTTCAAACAGCATTTCAGCTATGTTATAGAGCAGTAAAATTTTTCTTGTTTGTTGTTTCAGGTTCTTCTTCCTCTCAAACGATGAGCTCCTCGAGATTCTTTCCGAGACCAAAGACCCTCTTAGAGTGCAACCACATCTCAAAAAGTGCTTCGAAGGTATCGCCAAACTGGACTTCACTGACGACCAGGAGATCCTCGGAATGATCTCATCTGAGAAAGAAAACGTGCCCTTTGTCGGAACAATTGTTCCTGCTAAATCAAAAGGCATGGTTGAAAAGTGGCTGATTCAAGTTCAGGAAATGATGTTGAAAAGTATTAAAAAGATAATTGGTGATGCGATGGAAGCGTATGCCAACACTGCACGAGTAAGTGTCGGATAAACTTCATTTCGTTTATTTTTTATTGCTTCAAATTGTTGTCAATAGTTTTAAAATATGTCATCGTTTAAAGAGAGCCAAAACTTCAGTTGTTTAAATGAGCGGTAAATCTTTACCAAGGTGCACTCTATATATGCGTTTTGGCATGGATCCGATTAGCTTGATAGGTTGACCAAATATCAAAAATATAAAATTTTTCTGAGATCTCAGTTTGCAACTGTTTTTAGGTAGAGTGGGTTAAGCAATGGGCAGGTCAAGTTGTCCTCTGTGTGAGTCAAACTTACTGGACTATGGAAGTAGAAGAGGCTTTGAAGAAACCGAAGGGGCTGGAGGAATACTACGAGAAGTGCAACCAGCAGATCAATGACATTGTCAGACTGGTCAGGAGTCCCCTGGAACCCGGCACCAGGATATCACTGGGAGCACTGATCGTCATTGATGTACACGGTATGTTCTGACTCGAGCTAATTTTTGGTCAGAAGACATTCAGAAGTCATTTTTAGTTTATTGATGAAATTATCAACGATAAATGCATTGATTTAGTTATTTCTCAGAATGTTCAGCGTGAACTTATTTTAAAAATCCGATGAGACAATCGAACACATCTTGAGGTCTTTCAACTTGATTTTGCTTGAAAACCAATTGTAACTCTGAGGTAATGAAGTTTTTATTTAGCACGTGACGTGGTTGGCGAACTGGTCCAAGCCAAACTGTCTTCCCCCCTTGACTTCAAATGGATCTCACAGTTGCGTTACTTCTACCAAGGAGACGCACTTCACGTGTGCATGATAACGACTGACTTGTTCTACGGCTGCGAGTACCTCGGAAACTCAGCGCGTCTTGTCATCACACCATTGACAGACAGGTGTTATCGGACTCTGATGGGAGCGCTGAAGTTGAATCTAGGAGGCGCGCCCGAAGGACCCGCGGGTACTGGAAAGACGGAAACATCGAAAGATTTGGCCAAAGCGGTGGCAAAACAGGTAGCTAAAGATTCTGTTAAACCTAAAGGTTAATCCATTTTTGTGAAAATGTGAGTAGGTCTAGATTGTCTGTGGCGACCTCAAGAGACGAATTTATTGTGGTTTAATTTTTACTTTTATAACGTTAAGGTTTACCGATTTTTCATAAAATCAAAAATTTTTGAAACTAAGTTCAAGTTTTCTTGAAGGTAGGTGTGGTTAAACGTTGGAAACAAGGAGTGAATAAACGATTAAATTTAAAGGCGATTACTTGGCAATTTTCATATGGTTTTGAAAAAAAAATTACATATTTTTTGAAGGTCAAAACTAATGCTTTTTTGTGTCCAGTGCGTGGTGTTCAACTGTTCGGATGGTCTGGACTACAAGGCGATGGGAAAGTTCTTCAAGGGACTCGCTCAGGCAGGAGCATGGGCTTGTTTCGACGAGTTCAATAGAATTGAGCTGGAGGTGCTGTCAGTGGTGGCACAGCAGATCCTCACCATCCAGAGAGCAATCGCTAGCGGGGTAAAAACTTTTAAGCTTCTGTTTCGCCATGATAAAACTTTTAACCGCCAAGATTGCAGAATCTCATTCATTGATTGAAATTACTCAAAATTCAGCACAATCTGAAAAATTGATTTTTTTGTTTCGTTCAAAATAATATATTGACACAAAAAATACTGAAAAAGTACATATATTTGAGCTATTTTTATCAATCAATATCTTCTTGTATAGAGTTCTGCGCGGTTTCATTCGAGACAATCAAAAGTAAAGCTACTTTTTGAATAAATTTAGCGAGATTTGCCGCAAGATTTTATCTGTCATAAAGTTAACGTAGTGCGATAAACCCATTGGTTTATATATTCAGAATCTTGCTTCCTCTTAGGACCCCTATCAACCATTGATAATTCTTGCAACTCGTGTTCGGTGATGTGTTTAACATTTATCATTAATCTGAACAAACCTCAAAACGACCTAAATGAAATTGCTGGCGGGCACAAATTTCTAGGTCAAGAATAAAATTTGACCTCGTTTTTTGACAGGTGGAGCTATTTGAGTTCGAGGGTACTGAGTTGACCCTGGACCCTACTTGCACTATCTTCATCACTATGAACCCTGGCTACGCCGGTAGGAGTGAGTTGCCGGATAATCTGAAGGTGCTGTTCCGCACAGTGGCCATGATGGTGCCAGACTATGCCATGATTGGCGAAATATCTCTCTACTCTTTCGGCTTCATCGACTCAAAGAGGTACCTCAAGTTTTCAATTCTGACGACGTAACTTTTGACAAAACTTAACCACTCAGTTTAGTTGAGTTGTTTGTTTTGGGAATTAAAAAAGACAAGATTTGAAGATGTTAGTTAACATAATTGTTCAAGAACTAAGTGCTTTCAAAATTCGATTTAAAAATGAGGCCGATGAGACAACTCATGCATATTATTGATGTCCAATTTCCGCGAATGGTGAAAAATGTATGTTTCAGTTTGTCGAACAAGATCGTGGCGACGTACCGACTGTGTTCGGAACAGCTGTCCACTCAATCTCATTACGACTACGGAATGCGAGCAGTCAAATCTGTCCTCACAGCCGCAGGTGGGCCATTGATTGTCGAAACTCGTACAAGATCTTCTTGCGGAATGTTTTGAATTGCGTTTCTATACATTATTCAATTTAATTAGCAAATTTTGATCCTGTGTATTTTGGCCGATTTTTGGTCTCTACTTAACTTAACTGAAGTCTCAAGATTTTTGTTGAGTTAAAATCAAGCAACTTGATATGCTTATTTTGAGTTTTTTAATCAGAAATTACTCACAAAAATGTTAGAATATTATTAGCGAAGTATAAAGTCAACATTGAAATAAAATATATTTTATGAAACAAAACACTTCAGCAATTGTTTGCTTCCAGGAAACCTCAAGCTAAAAGATCCCGAAGGAGACGAAACCATAATGTTGCTGAGAGCCATCAAAGACGTCAACTTGGCCAAGTTCCTCTCCCAGGATGTCCCCCTGTTCAACGGAATCATCAGCGACTTGTTCCCTGGAGTGGAACTGCCCCTGCCAGACTACCAGTTGTTGCTGGATGCTCTCAAGGATAACATTGCTCAGATGGAGCTGCAGGCCACGCCCTGGTTCCTGGAGAAAATCATCCAGGTGAGAGATTTCCCAAATTTTCTAATCTTAGTTTTTACGAAATGAAATAACTGGCTGCTTGTTGTTCCAACCATTGGGTTTTTGTTTTGTTTTCCACGCAAAATCAGGCACCTCAAATAATCATCGAAATGAGTCGAGTGAAATACCATATTCAGTCTCTACAGTCGTTGCTTAAGCGACATAAAAAATTTCCAAAAAGATGTCCCAGTGTTGATAAAAGTCTGTTGCTTGGAAAATTTGATTTGCTTAAAATAAAACTTGTTTTAAGAGCTTCATTTACCTTTCTTTTGCAAAGATTGATTTTTTTTTGAATTTTTGTTCCATGTTTTCCTTATTTTTTTGTTCCGACTTTCGATACGAAAGTAACGGAATATTTGTGCTCGGGGAATATTTGTGCTTTTTTTCTTCAGACAAATTTCGACTTTTTAATTAACCATTTTTGACGGAATTTTTTAATGTCATTCGAAAGGTAGTGTTGTCCTGAGTATAAACTTGATAAGATATTTCACCTGTGATCAATTTTCACAAAGTTATGAGGGTTTAAAAATTGCCATTTTGGCCAATTTGGGACAATTAACCCGCCATATATTTCGCGCTATTCACGTGTAAGCGGAGATTTAATCCGTCTCAGTAATTGTTCCAAATTGGTTGAAAGAAGCTTATTTGCCGTAATTGATTTGTTACAAGGAGTGAAATCTATCCCTTTGTATTTTATATGGCGTGTGGGGGGATGATTTTCATAAAAAATTTTCAAATTTTAGAATTTTTTTTTATTTATTACATTTAATTTTTATAGGTTAATACTGCTCCATAGACCTTCAAAAGCAGTCGGAACATTCAGGGTTTCGCTCTGATTCGAGCAGGTTTGTTTGTTTTTAAAGACAACTGTTGTCGATTGATTTATTAATTTTAGACGCGTTCGTATAGTATAGTTTTTTTGTCGCACCACGCAACAAAACGATACTAATTGGAAAAAAATGTCTTGTTGTTTGAGTCAATAAACGTAGTTCAGACTCTTATATCGGTCGCGATGATTTTTTCCCCTTTTTTCAAGAAAAGTTTGAAAATTTGTTCAGGCTTAATTTCACTTTTTTGCAGTTTGAATTAAAATTTTTTGTGTAAGTTCAGTTTTTTTCTATGTTAAAATGAAGGCAAACTCCATTATTGAACAGCAAAATTTTATAGTTCACAAAAAACGTGATTGACTACTTGTTTGAAAATTGGATGCTAATTTTCAGATTTCCCAGCAAATTTAAAAAAATCACTATTGATCCAGTTTTTTTTTCAAAATGGAATATTTTATTGATAAAAGTTTCAAGCTTAAATTGTTCTAGAAATTAAAAAAGCTTTCAGAGTATCTAGATTTTTCTTTGAAATTCGAAAGTTTAGATTTTATCCAAAAATTAAGTCCGTATTTTTTTTCTGTTTCCTTTCCTTCATCGACTCTTTTCCAACTGTCTGTTGGCTATGTTTTATTAATGTTATCGGAACCTTCTTTGCTACTTCTGTGATAGATCAGCTTTCCTTGTTTTATTTTTCATAAGGTATTTTTTTTCAATTTGCGAAAAAAGAGGTTTTTTAATACTTTCAATTTTAGGGTCAAAAATTTTGTACAAAATGTCAACTTAGAATATGATTTGATTGAAAACTATAATGTCTATAAGTATATGTTATTGAAAAAGAAAATGATAATAGTTTTAATAATAACAAAGTTGCTCGGAATGTTCCGACTGCCCTCCAATGTGTCTCGAATAGTTTTTTTGTAAATAAAATGTTGAATCTAAACTATGAATCTTAGGCTGATAAAATCAAATTTTAACTGTCGAAATTTGAGACGTGCATCAAATGAACAAGAACAATTAGCTGTCTCAATATAATTAAGAACGAGTTTGTAGTGCGGGATAATTCGCCTCGTGTAAAGTATAGAACGAGCAGTTTAGACAAACTTGTGGCAGGTTACTAAGTGGTGTGCACACCCGGTTGGGCCCTTGCAAATCAGAGAATGGATCCTCCGAGGGAGCAAAGAGTTTTGTGAAATTGGTCTGATTAAAAAGAATCACGCCGAGCTTATATATTCCTAAGCGTAGACCGTTTCTCTTATAAAAAAAGGACGCGTTGTGGCGCATTCGGTATTGATGGTGCCGAGTAATAATGCAATTACGGATTCATGTCGCGTTTGCGCTGCTATTTGTAAGTTGAGCGGTTGCAAGATAGCCATAGCTTACGTTTAATTGAACTCTATTTCAACCTTAAATAATTAACCTACCGGTTTGGTCTTTGGCTGGTTGACTTAAAACAACAAAAAAATGGTATTTGCCGTTCTGTACAACCCAAACGCATGTATTGTATGTGTGTATTTGTATATAGATCTTCGAGATGATGTTGGTGCGTCATGGCTTCATGGTGGTGGGGGATGCTATGGGTGGGAAGACCAGTGCCATCATGTCCCTCAAGGCCGCCCTCACTGACCTCGCAAATGCCAGTCTCATGGATGCTACCAAGGTAATAGCAAACAGTAGCAATTGTTGTGTCAAAAACAAATCCACTGTGTCAAAAACAAATGTTTCGACGCATTGAAAGTAGATGCATAGCGTTCAATTGATTGATTTATTCCGACGGTTTTTTCAAACCTACAGCAAAACTATTGGAGGTTCTTTGAAATCTTAATTAAAAAAAACATTTTCAGCGACTTTTTTTTGCTGAAAAGTAGAAAATACATTGACTATTTTTTAAACGAGACAGAATTCCATCGCAGAATTCCAACCATACTACAGAATTACATCGCATAACATTGTAGGTCCAAACCAAAATCTTGAACCCGAAAGCGGTCACGATGGGTCAACTGTACGGACAATTCGACCCCGTATCACACGAGTGGACAGACGGAGTGTTGGCAGTCTCCTTCCGAGACTTCGCCTCCTCCCCCACCCCAGACAGGAAGTGGCTCATTTTCGATGGACCCATAGACGCCGTGTGGATTGAGAACATGAACACTGTGTTAGATGATAATAAGAAACTGTGTCTGATGAGTGGCGAGATTATCCAGATGAGTCCTCAGATGAGCATGATGTTTGAGCCGGCGGATCTGGAGCAGGCCAGTCCGGCTACCGTGTCCAGGTGTGGCATGATCTACATGGAACCCATGGAGGTCAGTATAGGGAAATTTTTCGTGTTAGTCACCCTCCTTTAAAAACCCGCAAAAAATATCATTTGGTATATACAAAACCCTAAACGAAACCAAATTTGTTTCAAAGGAAAGACAGCCTTTTCTACTTTTGTTTCCGGAGAGTGCGTGTAAAGCTTTAGAATATCAGAATTTTATAGCTCAAAATTTTTAGATTTCGCGTCGTTTGCAGGTTTTAATATGTTTGTGTTTCCCGCCGAAGGGGGAGGGGGTTGGAATAAAAAGGACGTCTGAAGGGCGTTTAAGGGCGTCTGAAGTTTTAGAAAATCAGAGTTTAATAGCTCAAAATTTTTTGTTTTTGGCTCAACGGAGGTTTACTCAATTTTTGTCGGCTTATTTGCCGCTCGGTTATTGTTTTTTGATACTTTTTAAAACCGGCGATTGTGTTGCTGAACATGCTTTCCTCAAATTGAGCATCTACGAGACAAGCACTTGGATTTTTTTATAGAAGTGGTTTTTTCGATATTGATTCAATGGATTTTGTTTCATTTTCTGTATGCTTTCTTGCAATGTGTCGCAAGTCGTGCGAAGCTCCGCGTCGAATCTGTGCTATAATTTTAATTAATTTGGTAATTTAAAAAAATGAAATTTCTTCAAGTTATTTTACTTTTTATACAAGCGCTTAAAGCAAATATGAGCCCTTCAAGAAGAGAAAAAGAAAAATTAACAATGAAATTTTCGGGAACGTCATGCACATTTGGTTAAGTTTTGTTTTTGCTTTTTGTTCGGACCCAAATATGATACTACTGAAGGAGCTTAATTATGTACCATTTTCTCTTTGCAGCTTGGTTGGCAACCAATCAAGAGGTCCTTCATGGAACATGATCTGCCACGAAACTTGACAGATGAGCACAAGAAGATGGTCGACGATCTGTTCGAGTGGCTCATTCCACCAACATTCGGTAATTTTCAAACTCATTGCAGCGTACTTCGGTGTAAAGTGCTTTCAATTTGTTCTCTTATTTTGCATGCCATCATTGATCATGTTTTGCTTCAGCGTTTCTTGCAATAAACAAATATTGGCCAAAAATCATAGATGGTCGCATGCAAAAATAGTATTCGATTCAGTAAAATTGGGTGTCGAACACTCTAAAATTCAAACCTCGTGCATAAATTGTGCAAGAACTACAGGTCAAAGCAGTTTGTTAAAACTTCGAATGCAATTTCTCAGGCTATGGCATTAAAAAGGTATTTTGCCCATTTCTGACCTCAAGTGACTGTTAATTATTACATTAGCTAGTTTTTAGTTATAAAGGGGTTTAAATTTTGTTTTCAGAATTTATTGATTCTAACTGCAAACTGTTCGTGAGTACTGGTCGAATCCACTTGTGCAGGACCATGCAGAAGTTGTACGTCTCTCTCATGGACGAGATCTTCGAGGCCGCAGAGGCAGCCGACAAAGAGGTGCTGGAGGATGAGTCATCAGGAACCACATCTGCCAAAAAGATGACAGAACAGCAGGTGGGTTCAAATAAAACTATGCAGATAAAGTTCATCTATTGGAATAAATTACACAGAGATGTTGGGTGCGACAGTTTTAACTTGAAAAGCTGTTTAGAAAAGATGCTTAAGAGTAGGCCAATGAAGTTCAAACAGTTGCACCCAATATGCCGGGGTTTTCTTATGCCTGGAAATTTTCTCTTGGCCACAGAGTCTCAGACAAAAAATGATTTTGATTTGGAGCAGAATATTTTTGGGCAGTCAAGTTTTACTCAATGGTTTTATTTTCATTTTTCATTTGCAGTTTTCAAAATAGTTATTTATCCGATACGTTATTTAAGAGAACATATCTTACTGACAGCAGTGTCTTTAAACCCCATTGGTCGTCTCATAAGTTCATAAATGAACGGAGCGGTATATTGAAAATGGTATCTGTCGATATAACTTCTAAAACTAATTTAGATCACAATGCACTTGCAAAACCTGTTCACGTTCTCTCTCGTCTGGACTCTGGGAGGAGCGATGACTGGGGATTCGAGGGCCAAATTTGACGCCTTCTTCCGAGAACTCACCAACGGAATGAATGACGACCACCCCAAACCAAAATCTGTCAAAATCAACAAAGTAACAATTACTTAATCCTTAGAGCGCAAATTCCTGAATGATTTATTTTTTTAAACCTATAAGTCCTTATACAATACGTTTCGCTTTAAACGCAATGCAGCATCAATACAGGTTTCAGTGCCTGCCGAAACTATAGAGTTATCAAAGAATCTGGGAAAAAATTGTCTTCTTTTCTTTTTAGAACAACAACTTCCCTGAGCGCTCCTCTGTATTCGAGTTTTACTTTCACAAAGGAGGATCTGGATCATGGGGCAACTGGATTGACTATTTGGATAAATCCAAGCTGCAATTGGCACCAGACGCCAAAGTATCTGACTTGACTATCCACACGAACGATACCGCCAGACAAATTTTTTTCCTGGATACTTACACTGGTCATAAGATCCCTCTGCTGTTTGTGGGACCTACAGGAACTGGAAAGTCTGTTATTGTGAATCAGTACCTGATAAAATTGCCGAAAGACAAGTGAGTCGAATTAAAATCAAATTTATAATTAATCTTGTCTTGTTCTATAGCTCAAATCATAAGATAAGAGCTGACATTTTAAAAACTAATCATTCAACCTTTCTTAGGTATCTGCCGAACATAGTAAACTTCTCGGCGCGCACTTCAGCCAATCAGACGCAAGACATCATCATGTCCAAGTTAGACAGGAGACGAAAGGGAGTCTATGGACCATCCATGAACAAGGTAACTTTTAACAGAAAGAAACTAATACTGGTTTCCTTGAAAAGAACTGATTGTATAACTTCAGAAAATAAAAAACCAGGTACAATTTCTCTTGGTGGCTTCTTTTCGTTCGATACATGAAAAATTGTCCCTAAGTTATATCGTGCATGGTTGTTTCAATCGAAGACGGCTCTTTCGAAAAATTATGAACTATTTTTTTTTAATCGAGGACAGTTCTCTTTCGAAAAAATGCGGCACTGACATAATTTAACTAATTTAGTTCGTGTTCTCAAAAAAATCTCAATCAATTTTTTTCACCGTTGAGTCGTTTGCAGGAGTGTGTGTTGTTTGTGGATGACCTGAACATGCCCATGTTGGAGAAGTATGGGGCACAGCCTCCTATTGAGTTACTGAGACAGTGGGTGGATCACGGAAACTGGTACGACCGGAAAGACACTTCCCGATTGGACATCGTCGACGTCGTGAGTATTGTTTTTAAATCATCACTAAATTTTGAGGCTTTGGTAAGGTAATTAAGTCAAGTCTTTTTTGAATACAAGTCTTTTGTCAAGTCTTTTTTGAATACAGTTTTTCAGGATTAATTATTTGAAGAAAAAGATTTTTTTCAGAAAGTACTCTGGCATGGAAACATTGAATTTTGTCTTAACGTGGCTTTAAATTTGCAGCTGTTGGTGTCTGCTATGGGACCCCCTGGTGGCGGTAGGAACAATATCACGGGGAGGATGATGCGCCACATGAACATAGTGGGAATAGACTCCTTCGACGACGACACTCTCCAGAAGATATTCACCACTATAGTCGACTGGCACTTCTCCAAGGGATTCGACGGATCATTCATGCGACTCGGAAAAGTCAGTTTTATTCCCTCGCAACACTTTTTGAGACACGATATTTGAATAGTTGAACAGATAAACAAGTGATAAAGCCTCGACCAAACTTTTGAAAGTTATATTCGATTGAAATTTGTTGCTCTAGGATTTTAAAAAAATTGCACTGTGCCTTTATTCTAGTTCAGGAAAGTTCATTTTTGTAAATCTCTGATACCTCAATTCTCGTAATTATAACGTATTTGGTATTGTGATCTTGTATTTCATTGAATCTTTGGTTTACTCAGCGCACCCTATGTTGTATATCTTGGCCAATTTTTATATTATTTTTCGATTTTTATCCATTCTCCATTCTTCGGACGAAAAAAGCAACGTTTATTTCAACAGAAGACAAGTAATAGTTTTCTTATTCCATCCCCGCTCAAAGTTCCACTGAAACAGGTTGTTTCAGAAAGACGTTTTGCGACCACATGCGACGTTTTTATGCTTCAAAACTTAGGTGCAAGAAAAACCCCAATACGAAAATCAAATCTTGTTAACAATCTCCCCCCCCCCCCCCCCCCCCAATAGGGATTGCAATAAGGGGGGGGGGGAATCGTTAACAAGGTACCAAATTCGTATATGCTTAACTGTTCAATTCTTTCTTTATAGGGGGAGATTCGTTACAAGGTACCTTAGGGGGGAAATATTTAACAAGATCCCACAGTTCTTCCAAACCTTTCCGATCGGAACAATTAATTAATATTTGCTTAAACTTCATCTTCAATTTAACGTTTGATATATGCTTCAGCTAATGGTGAACGCAACTAAAGTGGTCTACAAAGACGCCATTCATCACTTCCTCCCAACTCCTTCCAAATCCCACTACGTGTTCAACTTGCGAGACTTCGCTCGAGTAATCAAAGGTGTTCTCCTAGTCCCGGCATCCAACATGATCGAATCGGACAAACTGTACCGTCTGTGGATCCACGAAGTCTACAGAGTGTTCTACGATCGGCTAATTGACCAGGAGGACAGGGAGACCTTTTTCAGCATAGTGAGTGGAGCTATTAAGGACCACTTCAAGTCGAGTTTGGACAAGGTGTTGTCGCATTTGTCCAAGAGTGGCAAGGTCACGGATGAGGACATTCGATCGCTGTTCTTCGGAGACTACGTGTTCCCAGATGCAGTGCCTAAGATCTATGACGAGGTGCCAGATATGGATCAGCTGACGTCATTGATGGAACAGTAAGTTATTTAAAAACAAGAGTATTGGTTAATGTATAAGTAGAAAGTAGCAGCGAATGAGTCGGGTACAATAATCACTACAGAAAAGTATAACTGATCTATTACATTAAAAAAAACAAAGTATAGCATATAGATGTTTAAAAACAGTATCTTGATTCTAGATGAATTCTAGTGCTGAAACTTAGTCTGATGCACTCTTTTACGATTCGTTGAAATTCTCAAACTTTGAGGGTCTTTGATCATCTTGCAGAGTAAATGGTAAAATTATTTTTTAGCGAGTAAGTATCTTCATGCAATAGATCATGTTGATCATTTCATCAATTTGATAGTTGATTTTACATTTTTATGATATATTTCATGCTGAAAGTTTGTTCTGGGTTTCATTTCTCAAATTCCATCTGCAGAGAAAAGTTTATTTCTTTGCACATCATGTTTTTCTTCAATTGCATTATGGTGTATTTTTTGTGAATTTTTTGTTTCTCGGTTAAAAATTTGACACGTCTTTCATTTTTTAGTTACTTGGAAGAGTACAACACCATGACTAAGACACCGATGTCTCTTGTCATGTTCAAGTTCGCCATTGAGCACATCTCGAGGGTGTCTCGGGTTCTCAAACAAGACAACGGACACGCCCTTCTCATCGGTAAAAACAGTTCATCTTGTTAACATCTTTATTATTCTTCAACCTCTTAAATCACATAGTGATTTAAACGGGGAAAGGTAGGTTAAAATTGTAACATAGGCGTAGATTAAGGGAAACGTTTTGGCTTTGGCTGCCGTAAAATTTCTGTGAGGTTCCTTGACCAGTCTTTGACGATTCTTTCACCTTGAACGGGATCTATCAGGATTTGAACACCTGTTCCCAGAGCATTAGAATGCTATGAATTATATGTTCGCATTGCAGGAATCGGAGGTTCCGGGCGTCAATCGGCGACTAAGATGGCCTGCTTCATGGCTGACTACGAACTGTTCCAGATAGAAATCACCAAAAACTACGGAATACCGGAGTGGAGAGAAGACATAAAACGGGTCGGTTTAGTAATTGCTTCAGATCTTATGCCAATTGACTGTTAAATAAACACCAAAGAATAAAGAAATCGAATGCAAAGTGTAATTCGATAATTCAGTCCTTGGATTTTTCCGCATACATTTTCAACGTAAGATTGAATAATAGCAAAAAGGTTAAGACGTCGTTTTGTAATTTAGAAACGTACTATACTTTGTTTTGCACTGAAGTCTTCAATTCCAGTTCTGTATTTCGTGCTCAAAAACTGTGGACTGAATTTTAAAAATATCTTGTTGAAATAGCTGACTGGTTATGCGTTCTTTTTGTAGCTCATGATGAAGTCTGGTGGGGATGGGAAGCAGACGGTGTTTCTGTTCTCAGACAACCAGATCAAACAGGAGTCCTTCCTGGAAGATGTGAACATGATTCTGAACACGGCTGATGTGCCCAATCTGTTCGCGGCCGACGAGATGATCGAAATCATTGAGAAGATGCAGACTGCTGCCAGAAACGAGGTGTGATCAATTAATACATGTTTAATAGTGTGGGGGTAAACGGATATTTGTTGGAGTTGGCTGTTATTTGAAGGCTCTCAATCATCAATGCTCATTTAGCTGTTGATTCCAATTTGTGGGGAGAACGTTTCTGTAATGTTCCAGTTATTCTCAAAACATAAAACGAAATCCCAAACTGAGCTTTCGCAAAAATGAACTCTTCATCAGTTAACAATAATTTGGCCATTCGTTCAGATATTTACAAAACCAAACAAGGATAGCACAGAATGTTCCGACCATAGTCTTAAAAAACACAAAAATAGTTTTTTTTTCAAATTAGTGTCGTTTTTTTTCTGCGTGGTTTGATAAAAAGATCTGAACGAAAAAATAAAACATAGGCCTATTCGACAATTATAGTAAAATAGGCCAATTGGAAAACTTTTTTTTGTAGAAAAACGACTTAAAAAACAAGAAAAAAATTCAAAAAAAAATAAAAATTTGTTCAAATTTTTTGCAGAAATTTTTTGAGTTTTGAAGTTTTTGGTTCCCAAAATGGCGCTATAAAACTCCAAAAGTTAGCTTTATTTGGAGTTAAATTGAGTAAAATTTAGTTTTCATTGCTTAAATTAGACATAAAAAAAGTTATGGTAAGCCTGCACGCTAACTTTGTTAGCTTGAAATTAGACCAAAAAACAAAATTTTCAAAATGGGTTTTCTCGACACTGGTTTTTCATGATATTTTTAATGTCGTTTGAATCATGACTGAAATGGTTTAATATGATCTATCACTCGGTCCATTCCCTTGATTATTTGTGGCACCTGCTTCTGCGTGAAAAACAAAAAGAAAAAAACAAGGATAGCTGGTTACTGTGCAAGTAGCACATAATTTTCCAACCGCAGTCTTCAAAAAACAACAAAGTTTTTTTTTAAGTTTAGTGTTGTTTTTTTTCGGCATGGTGTGATAAAAAAATCTGATGTTAAAGTATAAGTTAGGCGTTTTTGGCACTCATGGTAAAAGATGTAAATTGGACTTGATTTTTCGCAGACAAATGACAACAAAAACAAAAAAATCCAAAAACAGTTTGAAAAAATTTCAAATTTAGTTTGCAGCAACGTTTTGAACTTTTTGGAAGATTTTGCTTCTCAAAAGGCGATTATAAACTCCAAAACTAGAATAATTTACTGAAAACTAAGCATAAATAAGCTGTTGTAAGCCTGCTGGCTCGCTTATTCGCTCGAAGTTGAAATAAAAATCGATACTGAGAAAACTTTTTAATATCGTTCGATTAACGGTTGAAAAGGTCTTCAATTTGATATATCACTCGACCCTTTCCGATATATATTTGTGGTATCTGATTTTGCGTGGAAAACAAAAAAGAAGAAAAAACTAAAAAACCCGAATACCAAGTTCCTCCCCATTTTCAATGTTCGGAACAACAAAAGTGTCTTTAAAACTTTCGTTGCTAAAAATTATACATTGAGTATTGCAGGAGAAATACACGGTGAGCATAATTGGCATTTTGTACCTGTGTTCAGATAGTTGGATGAGGTGTCTGAAAAAACTTGTTCCCTTTCTTGATTGATGTGATTGTCAGATACATGGTCATCCTTAGTTTCATGACTGTCCAAGATGAAACTACATTTTGTGAACAAAGTGGATTGGATGATCTCCTAGCGATCAACCGATAGTCAACCATAATCTAAACCCGAATCAAGTTCTAAACTCGAATCTTTTGTAATAAAAAAAAACAAAAATTCTGATTCTAGATTTTCAAAACCCATTAAGAATATATCGAAGATTGATGAGCACGTTGAGTAATGATGGCCTTTATTTGGAGTGAAAACTTTATTTATCAGAGTCTTTTTATAATGTTAGTGTGTTAAACAAAAAGATCTCTCAAACACATCCCGTTGATTTGACTTCTCACCACCCCATATCAGTATCACGGTAATTTAACACGTATAACATAACCAATCCAATGATATATTATTGTTCCTGTTGAACTTCATTTCTGTGATTCTTTGAACAAAAATGGATGAATCATGAGACCCTTTTTCAATCACAGCCCTTGTGTGAATAAGAAACCTGCCATGCTTCATCTTTTGGGTTGCCTTTTTCTTTCTTTTTAAACAATAAATTTCCTTTTAGGGCAAGAAGATAGACTCGACTCCACTGTCTATGTACAACTACTTCATAGACCGAGTGAAGGCCAATCTGCACATAGTGTTGGCCATGAGTCCAATCGGGGGTGCATTCAGAGAGAGGTTGAGGATGTTCCCAAGTCTCATCAACTGCTGTACCATCGACTGGTTCATGGTAAGTCACTCAACCCTCTCTACCATGCATTCCACCACATTCTTGGATTTTAGATGATCGGTCCCCACACCGAGCGCTCATATATCATAATCTATTATACTAACATTTTTAGTCAGTATCTATAAAAGAACAAACTTATCATTATAATCCAAAGAAAATGAATTATAATCCTATTATTTTTTATTTCATTATGAAACTTTATACTCGATTATAATGGGCGTTTTGAGAGGTTATTGATGACATTAGCAACTTTTCGCCATGTTAATAAATCGCCATTCGTCATCTTTTACTATCTCCATTCGTCCATGTTCAAGTAAGGGGGGTGGGGGATGTTTAATGGTTGAATGATATCAGCCGCACGTTATATTTCAAAAACAATTAAGTATAATGGATTATGTTGGCAAAAAGTAATCAATTTTAGTGCCAAAAATAATAGGTTATATTCGATTATCATGGATCATGAATATATATTTTTTGGAAAATTATCGATTTCAATGCCAATATAATTGATTGCGTTGTCTGATTTACACGTCAGTAATGGATTATAATGCATTTTTGTTTTGTCTCGGAAATCCATTATGATCTGTTAAAATCCATGAGCGCTCGCTGCGGTTTGTTTTAGCTGCAAAATTTAAGTTGAAATAATATCTTTATGATGTGTTTAAATAAGGAACGGAAAGCATTTCTTCTTCTTTAAAACGGAAAAATATTTTGGATTGGTTAGTTTACTATGTGTTCTTACCCTTGCGATTAGCAAGGGTATTGCAACCGGGTATTATACTTTTCCCCGTAAAGAACTTTGTTCACATACGTAAAACTTTACACGTGTTTCAAATTCATATTGTTCAAAATCAATCAACAAGCCTGATGGTAACACAAACTCTGCTTGATGCGACGAAAGCTTATTTTTTGAATGTTCTCGGGACCTGTTGCTTTTGGAAACTAGAATTTGTTTGCTTTATCGGACTATCTTCAAACTTTTTATTTTGTCGGATTAGTTCTCGTAGCACACTTTTAAAAAGTTCTGCTTTCGTCTAAGCTTCTGAATAACTTTTCTGAAGACATATTGGTGTAAGTAATTGTTTTACAAGTTTGTTTTTAGGAATTTCTTTTTTTTTGAAAAATTTGAAGATTTTTTTGAGCTACTGAAAGTTTTGTTCTGTCGATTGCAGTGCACGAATTTATTACATATGCAATTATTATGCTCGCAATTAGCCAGCCTGATCAAGTTGGAGCATAAATCTTTTCTTGTAAACAACTTGTCCATCAAAATCATATTATGTCCATCAAAATCATTTTATATTAAAAAATTGTTCTATTAAGAATCTGCTTACCTTTGCAAAAAGCAGGGGTATTGCAATCGGATACTAGATTTTTTTCCTGTAAATAACTTTGTTCACAGCAGGTAGTAAAAACCTTCATTTAGGTAGTAAAAAGATGTTTTCCGTTTCCGATTGTATTTTTTCCATTTAACTTAAAAATTTGTGGTTTTTGGCCAAGATTCCATCGAGTCATGTATCGTGTTTTTTTAATGGAGTTCATATTTTTGTTAGTTTTCTATCGGCTTATATCATGGATTTAAGTATGGATTTAATTTTGAGTATTACACTTGCAATAGCAAGTGTCGTGTTATCGCGAACTGGAAAATTTTCTCGTAAAGAATTTTTAACCTTGCAATAAGCAAGGGTATTGCAATCGGGTACTAGGCTATTTTTCCGGGGGCTGTTTTTGAACTTCATCCGATACAAATATGAAATTCTTTTTTTAGCTTTAACTTTCCAACTTTTGTCAAATTTTTTTTCAAGCTATTTTTTCTAACATAATTTTTCAGAATTGTTTTTACTTCTCTCCTTTTTTAATCACTATTTTGTAGCGCAGTGTTTTTGCATCGCAAGTGTTGCGAAGCTCCTCTTCGCCTCTGTGTACACGTCTCAAACTTGCTTTGTTATTGAATCTCAACAGCTTCAAGGTTCTCTCCCTCTTGGCCTAGAGGTAACGCCGCTGTCTTTGTATCCTATGGTCTGTAGTTTGATCGCGGCCGGGTTTTGATTTTTTCAGATTGTATGCAATTGAAATTTTTTTCCGGTAAAAACTGATAAGTCGGACTTTTGCTTATTTGCTTAAATTTTGTCTGTTAAGTTGCCACATCACGGTTTTTGCTTGTGCTGCAAGCAACTTTCATTGAAGTTGCAAGTGTCAGTGTTGTTTTTTGTAGTTTCTGGAGTGTGTTGAAACTTAAAAAAATAATGAAGCCATCTTTTTTCGTTTAAATTTGTCTGATCATAGATTGTCGGCTTTTTTTCCTCTTCGTAATCTTTGTTCTGTTACTATTTTAATGGTCAAATGTCTGGCAAGTTATCCCAGAATGAACTTCTATCGAGACATACGACTATTCAATTTTTGGTGAACTTACTTTTTCAACATTTTTTTTTCGATTTTTGTACGTTTTCTTTTTAAGGCTTGTGTTGTATAGCAAGTGGCGCGAAGCTTCGCGTCGCCTCTGTGTTTTAATTGTGGTTTTAAATTAACCAACTCCGGTGTAATATAATTTCCGTTCTCTCGCTCTTGTTTTTTTTTGTTTTGTTTATTATGCTTAAAACTTTCTCTGTTAATACCTAATTGGCTTCGGGGATGCGTTTGAGTTTTTTGAGGGGTGTTTAAAGTTTCTGAAAAGTTTTTTTTTTTATAAAAACAGTTTTTTTTTGCTCACTATAAGTCTGCTGAAAAATCATCGGTTCTTGTTTCTATTCAAGTTAAATTTTAATTCTCTAATTTGGCATGTTTTTTTTTCAAAATGAACTTTATTCAAGCCAAATTGAGTCAAAAAAGAACTTTTTGGTAGGTCTAGTTTTTCTCGACATTCTCAAAACGTGTTTTCGACTTAGCGGCTTTCGTCTTTTTTTCCGTCTGCTTGTTGTCATACTATGTTTGTGTTGTATCGCAAGTGGTGCAAAGCTCTGCTTCTCCTCTGTGTAAAATATTTTTATTATTATAACACATTTCCAAGCTGCAGAACCAAGCTACTTTTCAATCAAATGATGTTATATTGAAATCAAGGAAACTGTCTGGTAAATTGAAGAGAGTTTTTAGACTACAGTTTTTTGTACAGGAGGGTAAAAAGTACATAGCGACCGTGATGATGGTATGATGCGTTTAGCCGTGGCCGTCTGATGCACTGGAATTGGTTGCCAACCGGTTCCTGGAGTCCCTGGACATGGAAGACAGTGTGAAGGCGGCCACTGTGTGGATGTGCAAATACTTCCACGAGGACGTCCGACAAATGTCCATCAGGTCAGTCCTCATTTGTGATCACAGAAAATATATTCCGAAAAATAAACACTGAAATAAATTTGATAGATTTGAAATGTTATTCGGTCTAGGTCAAATTAGAAGAAAAATAATTTAAACAATAGCTTGATCCTTAAGCTATTTCAAAAAATAACCATATCAATAGCTATTTTTTGAAAATTGGTTTAAAAAATTGCACTTCAAGCTCAAAACTATCTACCTTTTTTTTAGCTCCTGGCTTCATAAGTACCCAATTTCAAAAAGATACTGTCTAACCAAGTCATATTTGAACTCGTAATGAAATTTAAAATGCTTCATTGTATCTCATGATGTATTTTTGCAGGTTCCTGGAACAACTGAAACGTCACAATTACGTAACTCCCACTTCGTACTTGGAGCTCATCAAAACGTACAAGAAACTCCTGACCCAGAAGCGAGAGGAGATCTCACAACTGAAGTTCCGATACGAGAACGGTCTGGAACAGCTGGCGTTTGCTTCTTCTCAAGTGTCGGTGATGCAGGCTGAGCTGGAGGCCCTGAAACCTGAATTGGAAAAAACTTCAGCCGAGACTGATAAGATTATGGTCAAAGTGGAGCAGGATTCCGTCGAGGTACCGTTATTTTCATTCAAATGGGCCTAAAAAGGAACAAAATGATTTTTTTAAATAGGTCAATAATGCTGCGATGTGAAGAGATAGACGATCAGTACATACATGAGTTATTAGCTTGTGGGTAAATAATCTTAGCAAAAATTGGCAAAATAGGGTTTGTTGTAACAGAGAAAAACAATTGTTGTCTTTTAAAAATGTTGAAATCATTTCGATACGTTTTCGAACACTGATACACTAAAACTAATAGATGGAATAATTTGTACCTCAATTTGTATCGTGATTTAGGCATAGTTTACGTCATCGAGACGTTATAATAATTTGAACTTCAGGTGGATGCGAAGAAGGAGATAGTGGCGGCGGATGAGGCAGTGGCCAATGAGGCTGCAGCTGCCGCGCAGGAGATCAAAGACGAGTGCGAGGCAGATCTGGCTGAGGCCATGCCCGCCCTAAATGTAACACAACCCTACAACTCAAACTCCCCATATCTCGACAAAATAAACGATATCAAATAATAGACAGCACTTAATTCTTGACAAAACTAACTGTGTCAAACAAAAGACTTGATTTATGTTTCAAATCTTTTTGTAAATAGGCTAAAAAACCGTTTGAGTGACCAAAACACGATGATGATTCTGTTAACTGGTTAATTTTTTTCCCTTAGGCTAGAGCGTTTTAATAATTATTACTAACAATGGTATAACTGTTTAGGCGGCTATGTCGGCGCTGAACACTCTGAAGCCCTCTGATATCACTATTGTGAAGGCCATGAAGAACCCACCCGAGGCTGTCAAGGTCGTCATGGAGGCTGTCTGTGTCATGAGACAACAGAAGGCCGAACGGTAAACTTCGATGTTTTTTTTGTGCTGCTTTTTTTTGAAAAATTTTCTTGCGGGTAAAATATGCTTTTTTAAAAATAAGCCAGACATACACAGACATTTTGGGTACAATAGTTTGAACCTAATTATATATTACATCCATTAATTAAGCAAAAATCGTTTATTAAAACATAAAAGCGTAAAAACAATCATGTCCAAACTTTTGCACCCAGTAAGTGTTTTTAGAAAACCGGACCCGTCTGGATCTGGAAAGATGGTCGAAGACTACTGGGGACCCTCTCTGAAACTCCTGGGAGACATGAAGTTTCTCGAGTACCTGCAGCAGTTCGACAAGGACAACATTCCGGGGCCTGTGATGAAGAAGATCCGAGACAAGTTTGTGGACCACCCCCTTTTCAAACCAGAAGTGGTGCGAAATGTGTCGACTGCGTGTGAGGGGCTGTGTAAGTGGGTCCTGGCGATGGAGGTGTATGAGCGAGTTGCAAAGGTTGTCGCCCCGAAGAAGATCAAGTTAGCCGAAGCACAGGGCGAGCTTGAGGTTCAGATGACAAAACTGAATGCGAAGAGAGCTGAATTGAAAGCCGTAAGTTGAATATGGAATCACGTTTGAAAATTTCCGATTTTGGAATCGGGTTCGACGTTTTGGCCGGAATTGCATTTGAACTATTTATTGAACTGATCTGTATGAACAAATCATATCATCAGAAGTGTGTTTTCATGGCCTTGTTAAATGTTAAACTATGGCTACTTTTTTGTTGGTAGATTGTGGACAAGTTGCAGACACTGCAGGATAAGTTAGACGAGATGACTAAGAAGAAGGAGGAGCTGGAGTTCAACATCGATCTCTGTGGTAAGAAACTGGACAGAGCCGAGAAACTTATCGGAGGTCTGGGAGGAGAGAAAGACCGGTGGTCCAAAAACGCAGAGGATCTCGGCTTCAAGTGAGTGCTGAGGAGCTGAGGATAAGGTTTCTCATCACGTCAATCAGTATAACTGAATTTGGTTTTCTTTACTTTGTTTCTCGAGTTTTCACGTTCAGTTTAAGTGTAAATGGACAAAGTGAAGACCCTTATTAGGGCTTAAGGTTTCATTTTTTGTGTTTTGTGTTTTTTTTAGGAAAATTTAAAAAATTGTTTCAGTTTAAGTGTCAATGGACGAAGTGAAGACACTTGTTTAGGGCTTAAGATTTCATTTTTTGTTTTTATTTTAGGAAAGTCTTAAAAATTGTTTTCGCTCAACTTTTTTCGATTCGACGTTTAAATGTTTCGACTTTTGAAGAAAAAGCGGAATACTTATGCTTGGGATGGTTTTTTATTCTATAAATTTTCGATTTTTAGCTAAGTTTTATTTAAGCAGAAACTTTTCGTACTATCTGAAAGATATTGTTGTGTGACGCTCAACTATTGAAAATATTTCTCTTGTGATCTTTTTTTTGTGTAAATTTGGGGGTTTGGCTAATTTGGGTTATTTAACGCGGGACATATTGCGTTCTTATAACACGCGTCAGTTACAGTTTAAGGAGTTGCAAATTGACTTGAGGCAGGTCATTTGGTTTTAGGATATGAGACGCTACTTTTTTTAGCTTATATTAGTGTGTTGGGAGAAAAATTGAAAAAAAAAACATGAAATAAAAACTTAATTTTATCAATGTTTCAATCACAATTTTTTTTTGAAATTCGCCTTCAAAGGCAAACAAAATAATCAATGTTTCGCCCTGATATACGAGCGTTCTTGTTTATTTCTAAGGTCACTTTAAATTAATTTGGTAAATGGAAGGCAAATTGAGCGCCTAATTAACAAAAGTACAAACGGCGTTAAAAACGAGACTGATTTTTTTCAAAGTAGTGTTCATTTTTTAGATTTCCCAGCGGAATAAAATCATACATATTGTTTCAATTAATCTGAATTGGGTTAATTGAATAAAAAAAGTAAGAAACAAACCGTATGGCATTTTTTTCTTTGAAAATTCTTCAAAAATAATTAGACTTCTTCCTGATTTTCTTCATACGAGTCTATTTGTCTGTTTTTCACGTTTTTCTCAAGGGAGACTCCTTACTTTGCTTGTCTTCACAGATGTCTTTTTGCTTTTTTTCTAGCTCAATGATACTTGATGAGTTTTTGTTCCAAGCATTGAAAATGGGGAAAAACTTTGTATTCGGGTGGGTTTTTCTTTTTTTTTGCTTTTTCTCGCAAAATCAAGTAGAAGAAATATTCATTGGAGTGAGTCAAAAGATATTTATATTCAAGTTTTTTGCATTCGCTGGTTTAACGGTGGAAATTTTGCAAAAAGTTTTTGGTCTAATTTCGAGCGAATAAAGTGAGCGAGCAGGATTAATTTGTTTTTAAACCAAAAACAATTACCACAAATAATCATCGGAATGATTCAAGTGGTACGACATGTTAAATCTCTTTCAGTCTTAATTCGAACGACAGAAAGAAACTTGCAAAAAGTTGTCCCAAAGTCGAGAAAAACTGGTTTAAAAGTTTCAGTTGAATTTCGAGCGAGTAAAGCAAGCGAGCAGGTTCATTATAAGCGAGCAGGCTTAAAGTGATTCAAGCAAGCGCTTAGGCTTTTTATACTTCAGTAAGTTTTCCTGAGATGCTTTTATCCAATCACGCACGAAAAACTTTTTCAAATCACGCACAAATAATTTGAAAAAGAAAGAAAAAACTTTTTTGTGTGTGTGTGTTTTTTAAAGAGTATAGTCGTAATATGCAGTACTAATTGTGCAGCAACCGGCTATCCTTGTTTGTAGTTTGTGTTTATTATTTCGGATGAAAGTTTTCTTCCTATCTTCTTTTATAAAAAAAATCTTCCCTTGAAGCCTGATAATCAACAAATAAATTTAGAAACAAGCCCATGAGTCGTCGATATTTTAAGTTGGTATGGGTTTTTTAGTCACTGTATCTTTACAATGGGGTTTTTGGTATGATATCTTGTGGCGTTTTTTAAAAATTTGATTTGAAACCAAAAATGTAATGAAACAGCTGAGCTACAATTTTCGGCCAAAATAGATGAGAAGCTCTGGAATCTAATGAGCGGGCAAAGAGACTTGTAAATGCCAATAGCATTCGACAAGCAAGCGAAACAATCTCTGGATCTGTTTTAGGTATATCAACATAACTGGAGATGTGTTGGTGTCTTCAGCTATTGTCGCTTATTTGGGAACATTCACAGTCGACTTCAGAACTGTAAGCATCTTATTAATTACAGATTAAAAGAAGTTGATTTTTTCATCATAGCGAGCGAATGTAATGGAAGAACTTTCAGTTTCGAAATTTTTCATTATCACAATTTTTTCGCTCAAAAATTGCTGCAATTTTGAGTCAGTTTAATTTTTTCTCGAGTTTGTCAAATAAGCGGCTGCGTTCTGCATTTAGCAATTTTAAGTCAGTTTAATTTTTTCGCGAGTTTGTCAAATAAGCGGCTGCGTTCTGCATTTTTTTTTGCGTTCTGCATTTAGCATTTACGAGTTGTTTTGATATTGGATGGATGTTCCTTCAATCATTTAAAATTCAGCAGTATTTTTTCTAAAATAAATTTGATATCTTTTTGTGTTTCCAGGAGGCGACTCACAAGTGGATGGAGAAGTGTCGTGAGAAGAAGATCCCCTGCTCTGAAGTTTTCTCCATGGCCAACACTCTCGGAGAACCAGTGAAGATCAGGGACTGGAACATAGCCGGACTGCCTGTGGACAGCTTCTCAGTGGACAACGGAATCATTGTGGACAACAGCCAGAGGTGGCCACTCATGATCGATCCTCAGAGTGAGTTTTAATTAGTCTGACGATTAATTAGTCTGTTTTACAATTTGAATTATAACTTTGATCGCGCTGTTGGATCAAATATCCCAGGATGAAATCCCCCAGAACCAAATCCCACCGTATAAAATCACCTAAGACAAAATCATCAAGTTTTTAGTTTGAAATCTTCGCATTCAAGTAAAGACTGAAAACTAAAAGGTCAAGTTGACAGCTATGGTTTTGAGGTAATCCAACTCTTGTAGTTAGCAGCAGAGCATACATTCTCTTTATTCTCCCAAAATTTTTCTCCTTTTTTGTTAATTGTTTTCCCATTTGAGAGAAGCTAAATAATTGCGGCGATTCGTGCCGCTGAATGGCTAATTAGTTTTCATATATCAGGAGTTGTTGACATTTGGAGCTTACGTTCAAAGCCACGGTTAATTCTTTCGAGGGCATTGCTTGCTCTTGGGAGGTCGTCAATGGTCCTGCATTAGACGTTCCATATATCCATGTCAAATCGCGACTTCCGTCTGCTCGAGTCTCGCATTTTTGCCTGCGAAGGTGTGCTCAAAATAGTTCCTGATGTCGTCGAGAATTTAGAAAATTTTGAGGATTTGTTTGTACCAGGCTTCTAATGTGAAGAAGTGCAAAATCAAGAGCAGCCGATTAACGTATAATAAGACCGAATTCTTTCATCTTTTGATACTGGCAACATGACCAAATTCGAGTATTTTTCTATAAATCGCTTGCAAAAAGGGAAAGAAACAAACCTTGATTTCTGTGTCCGGAAATTTGTCACCCTCAGAATTGACGCAAGCTATTCCAAAGTTTATCATGATTGAATTGGGAGACATGATGTTTGCTGTCGTTTATCGGGGAGTCGGGCATAGATACAGGGAAATGTTCTTCCATTTACGAAGCAGTGGACTGGGTATACTTGGAAGCCGTGGACTGTGTATACTTGGTAAATTTTGTCCTGGGGGACGTTATCCAGGGGCATTTTTTTTCCTGGAGAATTATATCCTGGATGATTTAGTCCTAGACCACTTGGGACGGTATATTGAGTGCAGTTTACATTAGAAATTAACTCCTAAGTTCGATTAATGCAAAACAAAAAAAAAACAATTTGCCCACAAACGCATTTCGTGGACTATATTTTATGAACATTTAAAGATGTGATTTCAGAATACATTTATGTTTGTAGGATCATTGATCTATTTTGTTTTTTATTCTGCTGTGTTTTGTTTTTGTGCAGCACAGGCGAACAAGTGGGTGAAGAATATGGAGAAGAAGAACAAGATGCAGGTTGTGAAGTTGAGTGACGCCAACTACGTCAGGACTCTCGAGAACTCCATCCAGTTCGGCACTCCAGGTAACACAGTCGTGTTTCCCCTCATTCTCCACGAAAATGAATTGTCTTATGTTCACCGCGTTCTTAGCATGGTTCTGTATCATGATTTTAAGATTTTAAACTTTTGAATTAAATTAATTGGTACACTTGTCGTGCTAAGTTTCGGTAGAACAACAATTCGGTACAGGCAACAATTCGTTACAGGCGACAATTTGTAACAAGCCATTGGCAAGTAGAATACGCTTGCTCCGCTGCGCTTACATCCGCTATGAGAGGAATATTGCGCGTTATCAGTGTTCCCCCGCTTAATCTACTGATACGAATCGTCGCTTGTTACGAATTATCGCCTGTTACGAATTTTCGCCTCACTTTAAGTTTCATAACAATAAAAAACTTAAGTAGCAAAACAGTTTTTTTGAGGTATTCTGTCATATGGTGCTCAATGGAAAAGGTCTCACAAAAAAACAGGATTGTCAGGCATTTGTGTTTGAGTTTGAAGAATGAATGGAATTTTCATGAAACTTAGTTCGTTTTGGGCCATCTTGCCATGCACATCCCCATATTTTCCTTTAAGTTGGAATTGCAAAAGGGGGAAAGAAACACATTTATTTAGTCTGAAACTGAGTGATTCTTAACAATTCAATCGCGGCTTGATTTGATTTGCAGTGCTGATGGAAAATGTGGGCGAGGAGTTGGATGCGATTTTGGAGCCGGTTCTTCTGAAGCAGACGTACAAGCAGCAGGGGGTGGAGTATCTGCGACTGGGGGAGAACGTAATCGAGTACTCGCATGACTTCCGCTTCTACATGACCACCAGAATGAGGAATCCACACTACTTGCCAGAAGTGGCTGTCAAGGTACTAAACAATACGGGTAATTCTGGAACGATTAAAGAATGTAAAAAAAACAGTTAATGAAAAAGAGTCAATTAAGCGGTCTCAACAAAAGGGTGGGAGTTCACAGAAAAAAGTTCTAAATTGCTTGTCTTGACAAAAAACATGAATTAAAACAATATCGTCAATCAAATAGGCGCGTGATTCTTTTTATACAAAATGAACTTTTGACTGTTATGAGAAACTTGAGATTTTGAAAGGGAAGTTGATAGTATTCGGAATTTTTTTTCAAATTACTTGTCGGCAAGAAAATTTGACATTGTAATCGGTTTTGCACATGTAGTACCATGATGTTTCAGGTGACGCTGTTGAACTTCATGATTACTCCTCTGGGTCTGCAAGACCAGCTGTTGAGTATTGTGGCGGCCAAGGAGAAGCCAGAGTTGGAGGAGAAGAAGAACGAGTTGATTCTAGAGTCGGCTGCCAACAAGCGACAGCTCAAGGAGATCGAGGACCAGATCCTTGAAGTTCTAACCACCTCTTCCGTAAGTGGACGACTAGCGCGATGGTTAAATTCTCCGAAAGAGAAAAAAACGACAATAGTTTCTTATGGCAGTTTGATCTGTGGTTTCATTCATTCATTGCTTAATAACTCCATGCAGTAGGTCCTAGACCTGGCTCTGAAATCGTTGCCACAAGATGCCAATTTATTTGGTCCTCAAATTACTGGCAGCTTTTCGTGAATTTAGGGAAATATTCTGGAAGACGAGAAAGCCATCAAAATCTTGTCATCGTCAAAAGTTCTGTCAGAGGACATCTCTGCCAAGCAAGCGGTTGCTGAAAAAACTCAAATCGAGATCGACGAGACTAGAAGCGGGTTCGAATCCCATTGGGAGCTTTTTTCTTTGTTCATTTTCGCTATAGATTTTTTATTATTTGAGTGACATTGTTATAGATACACACCAGTGGCGAAGCATGCTTCTATCTTGTTCTTCTGCATTTCGGACATGGCTAACATTGAGCCCATGTACCAATACAGTCTCGCTTGGTTCATCAATTTGTACCTGAATGTGAGTCATATATCAAATGATCCATACTTTATTCACACGGCACAATTTTTATATTTTGTCAAAAAACTATGGCATAATCAAAAATGAAACCTCTCTATTGTAACGAAATATAATTTCTTTGTGAAAAAATTCCTAAAAATCAAGTGTTTTCCGAGCATATTCTTGTTGTTTCGACTATTTGAAAAATGTGGAGGAACTTTGTATTCGGGTGTGTTTTAGGTTTTTCTTTTTGTTTTCCTTGCAAAATCAGGTGTCGCAAAAAATTACCGGATTGATTCGAGTGATAAATCGTGTTAAAGCCCTTTCAGTCGTGATTCGAACGACATTAAAATTTGAGAATTTTTGATTTTTGCTCTAATTTTAAGCTAATAAGGAGAGCGTGCAGGTTACAATCGCTTATTTATGCTTAATTTAAGCCGTGAATACTTATTGTTACTCGAGTAAAGTTAGTTTTTCGAGTTTTTTGGCTTCACTTTGTTAATCAAAAACTTGAAAATTCACAAAAATTCTGCAAAAAACTCGAAAACATTTTTAGAAAATTTTTTGAATTTTTATACGATTTTTTCGTTTTTCTAGTCATTTTTCTACAAAAACTGTTCTCCAATTGGCCTATTTTACGATGACTGTCGAATATGCTTAAGTTAATTTTTTTTCTGATCTTTTTATCACACCACGCAGAAATAACGACACTAATTCGAAAAAAAAAACTATTTTTGTATTTTTTAAGACTATGGTCGGAACATTCTGTGCTACTTGCACAGTAACTGGCTATCCTTGTTTCGTTTTTATCATTTGCTTTTTTTTTCAAATTAAAGCGAGACAGTCTTTCATAAACGTCACGATCAATTTCATTTCTTGTTTGATAAAAACAGCTATATGAAAATGTATGTGATTTTTTCTAGGTTATTTGGTTGTTTTGAGACATTGTCGCAAAAATTTATTTTTTCTCAAAAGCTCTCCTGGTTTTCAAAAAGTGGTACTACTGGAAACACTGGCTACTACTCTGTGCGCCTGCAAATTCTGCTATTTTTTTTCAATTTATTCTTTTTTCTACGGCTTTCGAAAGTTTCAATGGGGGGATTGTTTGACCCATTTCTTAGGTTTTCTCAAAAAACAACCCTGCCAATTCAGAGATTCAGGGTTCAATTGAAAGAATAGGTTGCGGCATCCTTATCTGCATTAGGTGCTATTCCCTTGCTTTAGTAGAAAAACGTTTATGGATTGCGGAGAAGTCAATTTTTGAAAATTACCCATTTTCTCCCGCATCATTTTTTCTTGAAACATATCAACCAGGTACCTCAATCAAGATTAAGCTGGGCCACTAATATTGCATTACTCTCTGGAGTCTTATTTCTGGGGGATGGATCAAAATTATTGCAGATCAGTCCAAAAAAATCATGAAAACGAACGAAAAAAAACAGTCCGATACAAAACAGTCCAAAATACTGTTAAGCGGTCAAAGACTTCGAAGCCGAATGTCGGCTGAAGGCCGATGGTTTTCTAACAAACATGACGAAATCAATTATCGTCCTGGGGTTTTGTAAATTTTGTACAAAACCAAGTATCAGAGGCCCCCCGAAAATTAGGCACATAAGAATAGGCAAACAATTTGATATCTATGTTGACTCTGTTTCAACGCTTTGAGTTGGGACGGATGGTCTAACTCATAGAGTAATTTCAGATTGGGTACACGGTCTGCTCGTCACGCTATCTTATTTTCGGCCGGATAGATTCGTGCAACTTCTTAGTCTAATACCGATCTTAATCTTACTCTTATATCTCTTAGTCTCAATAGATCTAGAGTATACTGGTTTGTTACGAGTCGGTCTCTTGGAGAAAGCAACTAGGTTTTAAGTTAAATTCAGAATGCTCTGGTGCTGAAATTACAAGTAATTTCAGCACTTACAAATAAGTGGGTTGTTAGTTAGATGGAGTGTGATTGGTCAGTCTTTAATATTTTATAGGGATAAAATATCTAATTTATAACCAATAATAACATATAGTTTGGATCAGGTTCCAGCTTTATGATTGCAAACATTTCAGTCGATCCAAAACTCAGCCAAGTCTGAGGTGTTGGAGGAGCGAATTGAGAGTCTGAATGAGCACTTCACTGAGAGCATCTACAGGAATGTGTGCAGGAGTCTCTTCGAGAAAGACAAACTCCTCTTCTCCCTCATCCTCACCATCGGAATCATGAAAGGAAGGTTTGTATTGTACAATTGATTGAAATACGACTGAAAAACTCTTCGTCGACTGAAATGAATTTCGAACAAGGCATTGTAATTAAATTCGAATTGAATTCAGAGTTTGATCAGTTGAATTAAGTTTTTGAATGATGAACAGTTACCAGTTATCTGGCCAGGAAAATTGTAAAACATTAAAAAATATTTAACGGAAAAATTTAAAAAGAGCAAGCTTGCAAAAAAGCGTTTGTATTTTTGAGAAAGAGCGAGTTATGATGTTTCAAATAGTTTCCTTTAACGTTTTGTTTTTTATAAATGTCGGTTGATTTGATTGATTCCAGATATGGACGGTAATTGTTTCTTACTTTTCTATCTTTATGTCAATATTGCTTCAGATTGCGAGTTTGCGTTTTTCAATAAGCGTAGTGTAGTGAAAGTTTTTGCTGGTTGCATGCATTAGTTTTGCCAATGAATATTAGTACATGACCCATGTTGATGATTGTAGCTAAAAAGAGGGGTATGCTATGGGAAACTTTCAGAAGGACTGGTTGAAACCGAACCATGTTAGACTGCCTGAAATCAGTGTTTACAAATCTGATTCAAAACGTGATGATCTAAACCATGTTTGGACAATGTAAAGGCTTTCGATTTGTTTAAAACTTTCTGGCATTCGATTCTTCCGCCATGATACTAGTCCCTAGTTCTGTTCCAGTGACAGAGTCGACGATGACGTCTGGCGATTCTTGCTGACAGGAGGCGTGGCCCTTGACAACCCCCATCCGAACCCATCGCCTCAGTGGCTCTCAGATAAATCATGGGGTGAGATTGTTCGTGCATCCAATCTACCCAACCTTAATGGTCTGATGGAAGATGTCCAGAATGAGCCGGATGCCTGGCAGAAGTTCTACGATGACGTCACGCCTCACGAGGCTCCCTACCCTGGAAAATGGAACTCTTTGAGAGGTCTGGACAGAATGGTTGTGCTGAGATGTTTCAGACCAGATAAAGTCGTGCCCGCCGTACAGGTCAGTTTGTAGCAATAATTCTTAAATAGATTTAAGACTATTTTTGTTATGGTAGTTTTGATGTTTTTTTTAAGAATACTTTTTTAAACTTTAACATGCAAGTATTTTTCAAAAAGAATCAAAAATCAAGTGTTTCAACTAGAATGGTATCATTTAAATTTTGACATGAAATCCAATGTATGTTTCAGGAATTCATCTCCGAGTACCAAGGCAAACAGTTCATTGAGCCACCGACATTTGACTTGGCAGGTACTTTCATGGACTCCAACTGCTGTTCGCCCCTGATCTTTGTCCTGTCCCCGGGCGCGGACCCCATGAACTCCCTGCTGAAGTTCGCGGCTGACAAGGGACTGACTGGAGACGCTGTACAGACAGTGTCACTCGGACAGGGACAGGCAAGTAGTAATTATGGATTTTTTTTCAACCAATTGGAGAGAAAAACGACTGATACAAATGAAAAATGATGTTTTTAATCAACTTAAGTGTACAAACGTCAATTTGTTTCGCAACTACTCGTTTCAAGGAGTGAATGGAGTCCAAATAAATGAATAAATTAAGATTGGGAGTTTTAACGTGATCTGGTTTGTTTTAAGATCCCGTGGCCGTTTTAGTGTACAAACATCACTTTCTAGTGTAACAACACTTGTTTAAAGGTTTTAACAAGTGCATGTATAGCCTAAACAAATGAGACTAGGAACAAAAAACGTCTTGTTGTAGTTAATGCCAAATTGTTGGCAATATAGGTGACCTTGAGCAACTTAATTGGTCAAAAACGCTTCTCTTGAGGTTAATTAAATTTTGACATTGTTTATCGTAATGTTTAGGTTCATTGACCGAAAAGTTTATTGCCAACAAATTTGCATTTAATGTAATATACTTATAAATGCCATGTTTCAGGGTCCTGTGGCTACTCGGTACATAGACAAAGCATTGAAAGACGGAACGTGGGTGGTTCTGCAGAACTGCCACTTGGCCACTTCCTGGATGTCCACTCTGGAGAAGATCACAGAGGAGACCATCATTCCAGAGAACACCCACACAGACTTCAGACTGTGGCTGACGTCATACCCCACCGACCAGTTCCCAGTGTCCATCCTGCAGAACGGTAACTAGGAATAACAAAAATTAGTCGGTTGAAGTGCAAGTACTACAGAAATATCCGACAACTGTTATCATTGTTAAAAAAAAAGAAAAATAAACGTAAAGAAAATTCGATTTTTTTCAGAATTTTACATTTGTGCATGGGTAGGGGGCTATCAAAAACTTTTTAATTACAGCCCTAGTAACGTATTTACTTTTTAATCCCCTTTTGGGTGATTTCTCACTGCGGTGTAAAGTGAATTCGTCAAATTTTGATCAAAAATATTCAAACCTTTTTTTGAAACTTAAATTACCTTTCGTAGTTTTTTAAAACTGCTCGAACCATGACTAAAAAAAATTTACTATGATATATCGCTCAACATTTTACGTGTATATGATTTTTGTTACAGGTGTGAAAATGACCAATGAGCCTCCTAAAGGACTGCGTGCCAACTTGATCCGATCCTACAAGAATGACCCGATCTCAGACTCTGAATTTTTCGACGGGTGCAACAAGCCAGAGTACTGGCACAAGATCCTGTTCGGACTGTGCTTCTTCCACGCAATCGTGCAGGAGAGGAGGAAATTTGGACCTCTTGGGTGGAATATTCCCTACGAGTTCAACGAGTCCGATCTCAGAATCAGCATGCGACAGTTGCAGGTATCCATGATGAATCTATGTAACTTGATTGAATAAAAACTACTTGATCATCTTACGAACGTTTTTTCCTACTTCTAGCTATTGTTTTTCAGAAAAATTGCTTTAAAGAGAATGTGAACTTTTCATGACAGATCGTTATATTAGCCAATCAGTTTTCACTAATAAAAATGGGTGAAAAAAATAAATAAAAATTAGATCCGATTTTTGAACAGTTGAAATTTTTTTTGATTTTATGGCATTTATCTACCAATCGGTGTTTCTGCCATAAGAATGGACCAGGAAGTTTCTTCAAGTTGTTATTTTGGATGATCTCAGGGAAAACATGAATGTTGATAAAAACATTTGCATCAAAAAGTCATCATCCATCAGTACAAGCTAGAAACAATGGAATGAATAAAAATTTTTCACAATTATGGGCACAATTAACACGAGTGGTGTTTAGATGTTTTTGAATGACTATGAAGAGCCCCAATGGGAGGCCATCTCCTACCTGACAGGGGAGTGCAACTACGGAGGGAGAGTGACAGACGACAAAGACAGACGACTCCTCATGTCTCTATTGATCATCTGCTACAATCCAGACATCATCAAACAGCAAAACTTCAGGTGAGAGTTGACTATTAATGGTAGATTACAGCAGTTAGAAAATGTTGGAAAGTGAAAACTCAATTCTGAAAAAAAAATTTAATTTTTTTACCTTTCTTTATATGGACCAAATTGATTATATATCTCCGTTAACTATTTAAAACCCAGCTTAGCCCACATTTTATGCAGTTTGGTCACATTTTTTGCCATTTTTACTCTTTTTAAAATTTGAACCAAAGATTGCATTTTTGATGCGCGCTTGTTTCCCGCAAAATGATTAATACTGAAAAAGAACTGGTTTGCTAAAAGGTTGGATCCCCCGCTATTGAAAATGTCGTTTTGCTATATGCTTTTCGATTGTTAAATTTTTGCAATGTCCTTTTTGCGATTGATTGTAGCTTCTCACAGTCTGGCGTGTACTATTGTCCGGATGACAATGGACACCAGTCGTTCGTAGACTATGTCACAGAACTGCCGATCATCCCCAATCCAGAAGTGTTCGGACTGCATGACAACGCCGACATCACCAAAGACAACCAAGAGACACAACAGGTAAACATTTTTATGCGTTTTGAAGTAGTCTAATTAAAAAAAAAATTATTGGCCGAATTGGCAAATTTTGAAACCTCATAGTATGACCAAAATTGGTTGCAGATAAAAAAAATATGCTTTTGAGTTTCAAATTAGGTCATTGATAGACACTTTTTTCCTAAAAATTATAGAAGATCTTTCAAAGGCTGCTCAGCCTGTCTAAGAATATTTATTTTCTACAGACTTTCCAGACTGAGTTAGTTTGTTCAGCTTTTTTCGGCCGTTATTTTTGCGTCGAGAAAATTTGAGTGGTAGCACAGTTGCAGCAGAAATTAGCCAAGTTGTGCTAAACCTGATGATGGCAGTCAACGAGCGGTCATGGCCGAGTGAGTAAGACTCGCGGTCGTTAACACTATGGTTGTGGGTTTGAATCCCGCTTCGGTAACGGTTAGAGGGGTCCAAGTGTCATCCGCCTCTTCAAAGAGGGATCGGCTGCGGTTCACGGAATGAAAAGTCTAATAAGGTGGAAAGGTGAGAGCTGGGCCGGGGTTAAATAAAAAAAAAGTCAAGGTAACGCTCGTATGGACAAAATATCAATGTCATGGCAGGCAATCTCAGGACATATGTTTCACATTTTGACGATATCATTAAAGAATGCAAAAAAACGTCCGTCAATTAGTGCTTTAGAGTCATTTTTTGTTTCAGGAAACAACACAGAGCTTGCAAAATTAGTTATTTTCTTAAACTAAAAAAAAAGAAACAAGAAAAATTAGTCCCAAACGTTTCTAAGTTTCTTTGATATGCCTGAAATTGATCTCAAGAAACGAATTGATTTTTTTAGCTCGGTGTTTTTTTTACACAAGCATAGCTTGTGTTATAGTATGAACTAACTTTTTTTCCAACCTAAGTCGCGCAAATATTGTTGCGATAAAATGTGCTCATTTTGATCAATAACCAGCTATTAAGTACAGGCAATGCTAAGGATATTAACACCGACTATTTTTGTTCCGAATTTCGTAGCGAAAGTAACGGAATATTTGTGCTCGGGTGGTTTTTTTTTTCTTTTGCTCAATTTCGACTTTTTCACTAACGGATTTTTTTGACGGATTTTTTTTTCATATCATTCGAAAGGTTTTGTTGTCCTGAGCTTAAATTTGGAAAAATATTTCAATTGTGTTCACTTTTCGTAATTTTTTTTGGGGGGGGGGGTTAAAAATTGCCATTTTGGTCAATTTAGGAAAGTTAATGCGCGATATATTTTGGGCTATTAACGCGTAAGCGGAGATTTAATCCGTCTTAGAAATCGTTCCAAATTGGTTGAAGGAAGCTTATTTGACATAATTTATTTGTTACTAGAAGCGAAATCTATCACTTTGTATTTTATATGGCGTGTGGGGGGATGATTTCAGAAAAATTTTCAAATTTTAGAATTTTTTAAAAGTTATTTATTACATTTAATTTTTATAGGTTATTACTGATCCATAAACCTTAAAAAGCAGTCGGAACATTCAGGGTTTTGCCCTAATACGAGGAGTCTTGTTGAAGTTTGTTTAAAAGATAACCTTACATCCAAGAGTGGATATAAAAAATGAATTATCAACTCAACGTAAAATTGTCTGGTTAACGGAAATTTAAAGATTTTTTTCTTGACACTTCAAGCTGACACAATGTTTGACCAACGATAGCTTTTAAGATGATTAAAATTGCGCAAATGAAGGTCATAACTCCTTCACATTATCGTGGAAGCAAGTTTTTTCTCTAGCGTCATTTGGAGTTTTGAAAACATTATCAACAGAAGGTATTCAATGGTATATGGCGTGTGGGGGGATGATTTTCATAAAAATTTCAATTTAAAAAAAATTGTTAATTTTATTTTAGTTAACATTTAATTTTTTCATGTTATTACTGCTCCATAGATCTTAAAAGGCAGTCAGAACATTCAGGGCTTCGCCCTGATACTAGCAGTTTTGTATTACAAATAGTTCTTTAGCTTCAAGGTATCATGGATCTGTAGCGTAGAAGTAGGGAGGAGACCCGCAACAAAATATTAGGGTCGAACCTGGGCAGGGTCGGATGTTTTTAAAGAACTTTTTCGTATACTAGCTAAAATGTTTCCGCTCTATAAATTGAGGCATGTGCAATTGGTAATTTTTTTTTCAAACTGACTGGTACTGCTAATGCGTCGTAATTGGCTTGCGTCCCTTAAGAAATTTTGTAGACCCAAAGTTTTACTCATTCAGTTTTTCCCAGCAGCGTTATCGGTCATTCTTTTTTTGCCTGTGTATGCAAAGGGCACTTCAACTCTGTGTATAATAGAAAATCTAGAAAATTTTCTTAGTTTGGTGTTTTTTATAATAGAAAATCTAGTGCTGATTTAAGTTACCTGGAGAAAACGAATAAAACAGGAAAATTAAAACAAATTTTTGGCAAATTGGGTCAATAATAGATTTAAAAAATGCGAGCACTAGTTCCTTCGACTGTTACCAAAACTAATGCGGTGCAATTTGTTCTGCGATTTTGGGATATGAAAATTTAACTCAAAATCTCAAAAATATGTCTTTTTTAGCTCCTTTCAGTCAATCAAAAATTGTGACAAAATCACCGGAACAATTTTTGAGCAATTTATATCAAAGGCAGCCTCCAAAGTTGGAGGCTTAAATTCTTCGAACAATTGGTATTTTATACGGTGAAATTGACACTTTTCAGCAACCATATACAAATTTTCTTGTTAGTCAAAATTTAGAATTTTAAATTTTCTTTAAGTTTGTTCTTGAGGGCTATATTTGATTACTTCAATCATTTTTGCTCATCAATTGTCTTAGTCGTGTAAGCTTGATTTTTGATGGAGTAAGTTTTCAAGTCTGAATTTTGCAAAAAATGCACTATACTGATTTTGATTAAATTCTGAGCAAATTGTGTTCTCATTATTTCTGTCTAAAATCAACTTAATTTGAGAAAAACTCGTTTGAAGTTTGGTACTTTATTCGTTTTGTCTGAATGTTGAAATAGCTGAAAAAAAATTTTTGAAAAGCTCTCATTGTTTTCAGTAGAAAAGGAAACTTTTTTAACGAGCTGGGCTAATTTTATAAAGAAATTTTTAAATATGAACTTATAAGTTTTCAATAATCTTTGAGAGGAAATTTTTAGAAATGTCATAGACATCGAAAGTGAAATCATTTTTTGACATATTTAGACTTCATATTTTTTCATTTTTGTACTATGATTCGGTAATTCGTGATACAATTTTGACGACGATAAACACCCATGACTCTTGGTGCTCTGCTTTGATGTATTTGAAATCGCTTCAGAAATTAAAACGAACCCTGCATTTTCGTCCCTTCTTCCGAGCAAATAGTTGTTGAAGAAGTTAATATTTTGGGACTCGAACCTTGCTTGGTTTCAGTTGTTCGACGGAGTGTTGCTGACTCTGCCGCGACAAACAGGCGGGAAAGGCAAGTCTCCCCAAGAACAAATCCAGGACTTGGCCAACGACATCCTCACCAAAATGCCTCCCAACTTCGACATGGCTGCGGTTGGTATCTTTTGCATTGGTTGTTCAAAAATCAAATCCTTACCACGAATGTTTAAAATGAAAATGATTATAAAAACTTCCTTCCAAGTCTGAATTTTTGAACACGTTTTTGGAAAACTTTCAATTTGTACTACCAGCTTAGTTCCAATCAACATATTTTGAATTTTTACAGCATTATAGAGTGAGTTATGTCATTCTATTAATCATGTCAATTTACTTCATGTTTTGTACTTTTTTTTCCTTAAGCAGAATTTATTGTTTAGTTGATTTCATTCCTAAAGTTCCAAACTTTTGCACAACTTTCAATTTGTACTCCCAAATGAAGTTTCAATCAACACATTTTCAAAGTTTTTATAGCGTGACAAAGTGAGTTATGTCCCTCCATGATATCGTGTCATTTTATTCACTTTTTCTACATTTTATTCCTTGTAGCAAAACTTATAAGTTAGTCGATTTAGCGCTTCATCAATTCACCCTATTTTTTTATTTTCAGTTTCAAGTAAAAATTTCCAAACCAGTGACAAATAATTTAGCGATGGACGTCAAAAATGGGCTATTTCACAGTATGCGACGTCTTATTTGGACTCTTTCCCAGGATTCCTCTTGAAGTGGGAAAAGAGCTGAAAGTTGATTTTTTTACAGGTGATGAAAGCTTACCCTGTAGACTATCACGAGAGTATGAACACAGTGCTGAGACAGGAACTGATCCGATTCAACAGACTCACCTCCGTAATCAGATCCACCTTGCAGAACCTCCAGAGAGCCATCAAGGGTTTGGTGGTCATGTCAGCTGAGCTGGATGACGTGTTCAACTCAATGCTGATTGGAAAAGTACCCGCCAGTTGGGCATCGAAGAGCTACCCCTCGCTGAAGCCTCTGGGAAGCTACGTTGCTGATTTGCTCACCAGGTATCTTGTCTTTGATGCAACAATTTAACACTGAAGTTTACGTGACAGAAATTGAAAACGACTCATTGAATACGAATTGGTCAGGTAGCAGACTTTAATAACGACACAAAACTTACAAAAATAAAAATCATCATCATCATCGTAAAAAGTTATTTAGAGCCCAATATTTTATTCAAAAGATTTAAACGGTTTTTGCTAAGGAGCTGCTGGAGCTTGAAGTTTTTTCATCATTAACATTCAATAGATGATTTAACATTTTAAAGTCTATCATATCTTTCACTTGTGAAAGTGGCAAATATTAATTGTTCCATTCGTTTCGTCAATTCCTAGAAGCTTTAGATCCATGTGTTTTTAGTAAAAAGCTAGCAACTGTTATTTTTTTTTCGTAGATTGAAGTTCTTCCAGACGTGGATTGAGAAAGCGGCTCCGGACTGTTTCTGGCTTTCTGGCTTCTACTTTACCCAGTCGTTCCTGACGGGAGTCAGTCAGAACTACGCGAGGAAGTACACCATACCCATCGACATCCTCGCCTTCGAGTTCGAGGAGTTCGAGGTCACAGACATGGAGACGGAGGCAGAGGTCAAGCAGAAGGCAGAGGACGGGGCATACGTTAGGGTAAGATTATGAGGAAAAAAATACCGACGTTTTTTTTGATCTCAGATGTACAGCAATTCAGCTGGCATTATCTCATAAAGAGAAAAGAAAAAGAAAATAAAAATGACTATTTTCAATCATCGATGTTGTAGTCGTTTGTCGATCTTTTAAATTATAACTTTTGTTTGCCATATGTTTGTTTAATAAAAATCCGAATGATGCTGTTTTTTCTCAAAACTTTTTTCTGAACCATCATAAGGAGCTACTGTATTGAGATTCTTCCTTGCTGCGAATTCTAAGCTTTCCAAATTAGTTATCGAATTTGTGAAAAGCGTACATGCGTGTTGTCGTCTTTTTAGAATTATCGCCTTAAGGATTGTTTCTTTTTTTTTATCAGGGCCTGTACATAGAGGGTGCTCGGTGGGACAGAAAGGAACACAGTCTGAATGAGTCACTGCCCAAGGTACTATTTGACACCATCCCTGTCATCTGGTTGAAGCCAGTGAAAAAAGACGACATCCAGATGGGCCAGATGTACACCTGTCCAATCTACAAAACATCTGCCAGGAGGGGTGTACTATCAACTACAGGTGAGTCATCTATTTATCAAGACTATTTATCCACAGGGAAAAGGACCAACGTACGAGCTGTTCATCTAATCGCGGAAAACCGCTGTTGTGCCTCTGCTTATGAACTGCATTTTTTTGGTATTTTTCTATGTACGTTCTATAGAGATTGAACATCTATAGTGAACAATGTGCTAGAGATAGAACCAGTTAGATTCTTTTGTAACGGTATAACCATGTTCATAACCAAGACGTCAGTAGCTTATCAGGACTGTCAGCCGAATTACGTAGAATATGCTCCAATACCATGTTCAATGCTTCATACCAATCCAGAGCAAGAGTTACTTCTCTGAGAGAATGTGTTAAGCTGTTTACAAATTTAGTTTTCACTTTTAGTTACAATTTTCGTTTTTTTTTGTCCAAAATTTGTCATAATTTGTTTTGTCCTCAATCTTTAACAGTGTTGAATTGGTTAAATGAAAGGCGAAAAGGATCAAGGGCTGAACTAAGGACCATTTGTGTATATTTGAAAAAAAAAAACAGTTTTGTAAAGCTTAAACTTGAAAATATAATGCGCATAAACATCAAATACTTTAGAAGTCAAACGTAATCTTGGCAGAGCTGAGTGAATAAAAATCATGCATCTGTTTATTACGAAAATATGAGCGTGGTGGCCCCTTTTTTATTATACATTTTAAGCTTTGACTTGCCAATTTTTTATACGACCAAAATCGCTCAAATTAAAAATGAACATTTTAAGCTACTTAAAAACAAATGTAAAACCAACGTACTCGAGTTCTCGCCATTTTAACGCTAGTATTGAACGTGCATGGTAAAAACTTTGAAGCTACTTTTGTTTTATAACCACTATTACTCCAACTTGTTATTATCGGTTACCCGAACTGTAATATAATAAGCATGGAAAACCAGGATGAAACTGCAGAAAGCGAGAAACTCGCCAATCTGAGAGCTGAGTTCTTCAAATCCGTTGAGAGTGGCGATGTTAACCTAGTCACAGATCACCTCAAAACGATTGAAAACGTGGAGACCGTGATAAATGCTGAAGATGACTTCGGGTACACGCCTCTTGCCCTGTCAATCAAATTGCAAAGCGAAGAACTCATGAAACTCATGATGTCGAACGGAGCTGATCCAGGAGACGCCATGTTAATTGCGGTTGATGTCGGCTTCCGAACTGGAATCAAGATACTCTACAATTCCGAAAGAACTTTGGTCAACCTCGCCGTCTTGTCGAAACATTTTCAGTTCGGAACCACGCCTCTGATGGTTGCTTGTCACAATAACAGTTACGAGCTGATCGAGTATTTGTTCAGCCTTGGGGCGTTCCCAATTGACGAAGACTCCTCAAATTTCGGCCAAGATGGTCTTCAAAGGTCGCTGTACCGAATGTCGATCTACAAGGCAATTTGCAGCCCCTCATACATAATGATTACTCATCAAGACCCGTTGCACCAGGCGTTCAAAATGAGAACTGAGACCCACAGGTTGAGTATTGTAGACGAGGAGCTCTCAGAAGAGTACCGAATACTGACCACAAAATGTGAAAAATTTAGCGAAGAGTATCTTTCATGTGTGGCGACGGACAAGGAGTTGGAATGTTTGTTAAGCATGAACAACCCGAACGTCGACGGAGAAGTCACGCCTCCCGGAGGTCCCGTGACTCGGATCCTCTACGCGATAAACACGAATCAAAAGAAGTTTGTTGCTCATAGGTTCTGCCAGCAGGCTATTGACGAATCGTTTACTGGAAGCATCCCTTGGCGAGGTCAGAATTTGTTCGTAAAAATTGGAATCTCAATCATTGGTGTCCTTATTCTTCCATTTTATTGGATCTTCAACATCTTCGCTCCTCCCAATATCTCTTGGCTTCAGTGGTTCGAAGTGCCATTGCTGAAGTTTGCCTCCGCATTTGTGGGTTACTTGATACTAGCCGTTATGACGGCAATAAATTGTATAAACATCACCAGTTGGGTTCCAGAAAACAATGAAGTACCAAGCGACTACAGAAACGGCGCCATATCTGATTTTGGAGCATGGGTGTGTAACGTTTACGTCTTTGCTTGGCTGGTTGGGAGGTTCCTTGAGTTTCTGCTCCAAGCTTTGAAACTTGGGTTCAGTTCGGTTTGGGGAGATACTTGGAGCCGTTACGACCTCCTCACAATGATGCTGTTCTTCGTGAGTACATTAATGTACTGGTCGGGAGCTTCCAACGGAGTTGAATACGCAAGTTTACACGACACAGCAACGCAAAGCTACGAAATCTGTTTCTCTCTCGGAACTTTGTTGGTCCTTAACAGGTCCATTTATTGGGTTGGTGTCACTGAAAGTCTGGGTAAACTGAACATCCTTTTGGGTTTTGCTCTCGGAATAATCGTCCGATTTTTCCTCATCTTCTTTATATTCCAGTTTTCGTTCGCGGTCGCTATTAATTCGCTTATGTGGAAAGAAAATATAATATATGCTCTAGAGTGTATCACTGAAGAACCAGTACAAATTATTGAGCCAAAAGTTTGCGTTTTGGATCGCACTCTTATGAAGAATTATTTTTGCTTCGTCAATGAAACTACAATTCCTGACTCGAGTTGTATTGCGAATAGTTCCTACAGCAGCCACCAATGTCTTAATGTTGCCGACCAGCTTGTAAGATTTGACCTATGTGTTACTTCGGATGAGCTGACAGATGAACCGTGTATGCAGAAATATACCCAACTGCCGCAGCGAAATCTATGTTTTGAGAGCCCAGCAGTAAATTTAACGTTAGGCGAATGCTGTGAAATTGTTGAGGCGTTTGATAATATTACAGATATCGGATGCCTGACTCAAGTTATATACGACTTCAATGAATGTTACTATGACATTTGGGACTCAAACGTAAAGCAATTCACAGATGTCGTGGGATCTCTTTGGGTCACTTTTTGGGCTCTTTCTGGAAGTGTGGATTACCAACTAATAAATAAACTCTACTCGGATAACTACAACGTGCCCATTCTGGTTGGTCTTCTTTTGTGGATCATTTACTGCATCTTAGGCGTCCTCATTTTCCTGAACATTCTGATCGGTCTGATGTTTAAAACGATGGAAACTCTGGAAGGAAACGTTGACATTGATTACAAATGTGACAAAGCGCAGATGCTGATTCCCTTCATTGCCGGAGGAATAAACCCGGTCCCCCCTCCGTTCAACATAGTTCCCAGAGTTGCTTACGTCATACTTATTGTCGACACAATTCGAGCCCGAATTTTGAAGTCGAAAAAGAGCGGAAGCGAAACTACGAATTCAAAAATCACGCTTTCAGATGTGAAGGAAATGCTGGAAAATGTGAAAACTCGCTGGCGTCGAAATATGAATGCAAGCGGAAGTAACGACAATGCGACGGGGGAGCACGTGAAGGAAATCGAGAGTTGGGTCCGCAAGAAGATGGGAGACCTAGATGTCAATGTGGAAAATTGTGAACACTTCCTGGACACTGCTTACAAGCGGCAGTAAAGAAAGACACTTGGTGTCATCTAACATGTACATAAGATTCGTCTAAATGAAACTGAAAAGCGCAAGTTTCCAGTTTGAATCGATTAAATAATAACAATAATAAATAAACCCATGCAGGGGCGTATGCACAGGAATTATACGACGGGGAGTTGAAAAGTTTAACCGATCTCGTTTTTTTCCAGTAAGTCAGCAAAAATTTGAGCTCTGCTGAATTCTTAGAACAACCTATTTTGCTTTATGTAAACTACTCGCGATTTCGTGAAAAGTTTGCTGACTGAATAAAATTTCTCTTGTAAAAATTAGATTTATGGTAAAAACGTAACAATTAATTTCATTTCTTATACACCCTGATTAGACCGAATGAAAGGGAAAGAATTGACGTCCACTTCCCCTTGGCTCATAATAAAAACCCTGCGCAAAAAATTTGGACTGTTTTCTAAGACTCGTTATGATCTGTTTTAGGCCACTCGACTAATTTCGTCATGTACATGCAACTTCCTTCTAAACAGCCGGAGTTTCACTGGGTCAATAGAGGAGTCGCCCTCTTGTGTCAACTGGACGATTAAGAAATATGACATGCTCACAAACTTACTCGCACTTACGAAAATTTTAAATTTAAAATATCGACTTATTTCGGAAACTAAAATGATAACTTCGTTCCAATATTTGGAGCGCTATATTTTTGAATATAAAATGTATATATTGTACATAGTTTGTTCTGTTATATAGAATTTCTTTCAAGCTTAAAAAATCTGCTGATTTACAATTATTTTTGAAGAGTCAACACAAATCTTTAAATCCTGCGAAATGCTTTATTGTCCAAAAAGTAGGAGAAGACTGCTCGTAGCTGGGCGACAAAGCCCTGAATGTCCCGGCTGCCAATTAAAAAACTGTTTATGTCAAAAATTGATAAAAAATTATCTGAAAAAAAATCAAAAATTTTGTTTTTTTTTTCTCAATTTTTTCTTGATTTTACCCCCCCCCATCACGCTATGTATGGTGAAAAGTGATATATTTTGAGTCTAGTAACGTTTTCAATAAGAGCAAATTGCTTGCCTCAATTCAAATTGGCACAATTTAGTTCGCCGCTTACGCTCAAATAGCACGAAACAGCGTTAATTATAGCAAATCTTATCCCACGAAAAAAGATCAGGTAAAAAAAATTTTTTTTTTAAAAATTTGAACTCAGGACATCGGTACTTTTCAGATGAATAAAATAATGAAAGTCACGTCAAAAATGGCTACTTACAAATGAAAATTGACCAAAGTTGATCATATCCCCCTTTCAGTGATTGGAGAAAAATCATGAAAAAATTATCACAGCCTTTTTCTATCAAAAACGTGTCATTGAAAAAAAACTATGGCGTAGGGTTTTTTCGTTTCTCCTGATTTTTCTACCTCAAGGAAAGATCGCAGAACGGTCAGTTAAGGAGTGGCTCAGATGATCACGATGATCATGATTTGGAATCCCAATCATGACCATTTTTTGGAATCTCAATCATGACCATTTTTTAGAATATCAATCAGTACCGTTTTTGGAATCCCAATCATGGCCATTTTTTGGAACCCCAATAATGACCAACAGGGTTTTATCATGTAATCACCAACAGGTATAATGACCAACAGTATTAAAACCCTGTTGGTCATTTTTGGGATTCCAAAAAATGGTCATGATTGGGATTCCCAATAAATGTCAAGATTGAGATTCCAAAAATGGTCATCATTGGGATTCGAAAAAATGTTCATAATTCGGATTCGATATCATGATCATCTGAATCTCGCCACTCCTTAACTGACCGCTCTGCGAGCTTTCATTGAAGTAGAAAAATCAGGAGAAACGAAAACAGCCTACGCCATAATTTTTTTCATTAACATATTTTTGGTTGTGTTTGTCCATCACTAGGATTTCGGAAACACCGTTTTCAGTGTTGAGAAAAATAAGTATGGATTTTTTCATTTCTTTTCAGACTACATGACAGGAAAATTACGAATCACAATATGGAAATGTTTAGAGAATGTTTGATTGCAAATTTTGCTTTTTCACTTTTCAGCATTTGATTTTTGTTCCATTTTGTGAAATCGAGTTATCACTGCCATTTTTTCAAATCTTGCGTTTTAATTAAAATAAGTGTGAAAACTAGAAACTAGATCATTTTTCAAAAAATTAAAATTGAAACTGAAAAAAATGTCTTAGATAACGAAAAGCGATAATCCTACGCATTTTGTTGAATATCTATTTCATTGCTTATGAAAGTTTGTTGTTAGAAAGTATTATCGGAACAAGGTACTTAGAAAAGAAACTTTTTAGTGATCTTATTTAAAATAAAATCATTTTTTAACTGAATTAGCAAGCAAAATACAAACACAAATTTGTTTTAGTGGAAAATGTATGAAAAAGCAACTAGCGTAAGTTTAGTAGACAAGAACAAATCAAAGTAGAGCTAAAATTTTATTGAGGTTTCGGTGCGAAAGTTGGAAATGACGAGTTTGGTGTTCAAAAGTTCGAAAAAGTGAGAAATATATATGCTCGGGGTGGTTTTTTAAGACCTATTTCCAAAAGAATTTGTGCTCACTCGGAAGAGGGACTTCTGGATCTACGAGAGGGCCTCACCGTGTGCGCACACCGCTCTATGAACCTGGCACGAGGCTATCCAAATTGCTCGTTTTATTCTTTGATGCTGGAATAAAAAGCGCATTGCTTACGCGTGCAATCTATTGCGGGCTATTAAATCGTTCCGAACTGAATTGAGGCAAGCGCATTGGTCTGATTTTTCCCCATAAACAAGTCAAGTTTAGGCACTTACCCAAATATTCATAGGTAGTCAGTTTTTAATTATCAAAAACTATTCGAGAGCAGTTAAAGGCAGTGGGAACATTATGGGCTCTGTCCTGATACGAGCAGTTTTGTTTGATTTTACATGGAATTCGGAAAACTTTTTTTTACTAATTAGGAATCAATATAACCCCAATAAATTTTGACTTTTGAAGATAGTGAGGAATATTTAGGTTTCGGATAAATTTTTGTTCATTCAATATTCGACTTTTAACAATGTTTTTTTTGACATTTTATTTGTCAGTTAAAAATTTCATTGTATGGAGCTCAAATGTAAAATAAGTTTACCTCCAGTTACTTTTTGTAAATTTGTGGGGATTTGAAAATTATCATTTAATTTGGCCAATTTGGTATAATTAACGCGCGATTTATTGGGTTATTATAGCACGAGTGAGCGGCGGATTAAATCGTTACTAATTGATTTTAGGCAAATAACTTGGTATCAATATAAGGATTAGCTAAGCCATCTCTTCGTGTTTTACTTAGCGAGTGGGGAGATAAAATGAAAAAAAAAAATGTAGTCACAGCATTCTGGCTTGAAAATGTAGTCACAGCATCTTGTTTCTGTTTCGATTTAAACTTAACAAAAAAATAATATTTGAAAAAAAAATGAGAAAAAATTTAAATCCTGAAGTTCTATAACCTTTTGAAGTTTTGGAGATTGCATTTTTAGTGCGTAATTGTTCCGAATTTTGTAGAAAACGAAAAGTCATGCTTCGTGTGTTTTTAGTCATTTTTTTTGCAATCGAAATAATAGTTTTCAACAAAAATTTTTATGCCCCATTGAAGATTTAGACTCAAAGTCAAAAAGAAATCCGAAATTCGAAAAGATGCTATAGACCAATTTATGCGCGCTTTGTAAATTTTATACTTAATCCTGAAAACGTAATTTTTTAATTTTTAATAGAAACCTGGCTCATGACTTAATAGCATTCAAAATATTTTCAAGTGGTTGGAAAAGGATCTATTGAGCTATCTTATCTCCGCACCCACCCCCCCCCACGTTAGAATTAGAAAAGATACGATAAGGGGAGATTATCAAGTAGATCCTAGAAACCTTTAGGCAGTCTGCACTGTCGTCGATAGATCCTCTGCGATAAGCACAAACCATATTATTTTCTAGTGTAATATTTCGAGATACTACAATGATTCTTTTTTTTCAGAAACAATTTTTGCTGAATCGGGGTATGCATATGAGATTACCTCTAAGTTCCGCTGAAGATTGTTCTTGCCGACTTTCGAAGACGAGTCAACAGAAAAAACTAACGAGCAACTAGCAGTCAGGTTTACAGTTGTTGCAAGGATATTAATTTAAGTTAGTGAATGCGAAAATTAGAATTACAAATTAGTCCACTGCTTAGAATCATCTTGACCAAATAACTACAGGTGCTTTATCTGTTAAAAAGAATTCCAAAAATATCGGCAAAAAAAATTATCAATTATCGATCAACCTGACCAATTATTTGAAAAAAAAAATACAGAGTTAGTCTGAATAAAGAGCAGATTTTTGCGTTGACATTTGAAAATGTTGGCTTAGGAAAATCGAAAATATTGAAATGTAATTGTCCAAATATTCAACAAAAAATGCTCGACTGAGTTTTTATCCGTGCGTGATCAAAAAAGAACGGGATAAAAAGTCGTTCTTAGTTTCAAGCACCATTTTGTACCAAAATTCTTAAATTCCTCTAAAAAACTTTAAAAATCATCAACATCTGGATATTTTTGTCACATGTGTGATTTCCCTGCTTCACTGATCCCATAAAATGCCAGTTTTTTAACAAACAACAAAGCAAAATTCTTAATTGGAACACAAGTTTTTCATTCCACTAATTTATATCGTTATCGGGATTTTTTTCCGCAGAACAAACATCAGATAGCGTGGTCAAATTTGTTGTCAGGATATCTTTCCGCTCGTTTTTCGAGTTAATTTTATTTTAATTTTTCTTCGAAACGATGAAACAGACCCTTATTTTCCTTATTATCACGGCACTTCTAAGTGCTCTTAATCAGGTAAATATATTGATGATTTAAAGGAGAACTTTCAAGGAGAAATTGTAATTCAAATAGTCAGAAAGCGAACAGAAAGTTCAAAAACAAAATTTTTAAATTCGTTGTCTGAAAAAAAGCATTATTTTTAGGTTTTCAAAAAGGATATAGTTTTCCTCAATTTGAAACTTGAAACAAAGCGTAAAATGAGTTTTATTGGGAGCCGAAAAAAATTATCTTACTGTTTTGTTTTCAAATAAGATTGAATATGATTAACATACTTTTACAAAATATTGAACAAGTAACAAACACCCTTCTGCTTAAAATAAATACGTTAATTCAACGTAATTGACGTCGATTCACGTCGCTTCATGATTCAATTTTTGAATAATATACCTACTAACGACGTCTGACCCTCATTTTTGGGACCTGATGTTCAGTGAACAGAAACATACCCGCACAGTAGCGGATTGGTTGGGGAGGGGGGGGGGAGTTGGACTCCTTACACCTTTAAAGCAATCGATCCTCTGGCCGCCCAAAGGGTCCCCCCTTTTGGACGTTTTTTTTACAACGACATCCAACTTTGGTCGTTGACCAATTCTAAAAGTTTTCTCAAAAAACGCCTTCGGTATCGATATTCACTATATTTTATGGGGGACCACGCGATGGAAAAACACAACATTTTGGTCAAAACTTTCACTTTTCAAATGTTTTTGCAACCTGTTTTGCTGTCATGCTGCACAGAAACTTTTGGAACATTGGAGTCTAGAGGGGGTTTGATTATTAAATTTGGTCACTTTCAGTTAAAAAGCTCGATAAAATTGTGTTTGGGATTTTCCTGACAAAAAAATCCTAGGTTAGTGCTTGTGTCCGAATCGTGTAAGTCCCTTTAAATTCTGATGATTGATACAATTATCACAAAGCTTTGTTTACATTGCATCTTCAGTTGTTATATTCTGGTTTTACCTGATATATAATTTTACAGGCGTCCCCTATCAATTTTGGATCAGGCATTGACCGCGATGAAGTAATCCCGAGTGGGGATGGATTTGAACCCGACGAAGACGTTGGTCTATTTGAGGACGAGGTTGAGGAAAACGTGACCTTGAGTGGCGATGTCAAAAAGATCATGAATGAGCAAGATGACGTCATGATGAGCGGAGATCTGGAAGATGACGTCATATTCAGCGGAGACTTAGATGATGACATCATGATTAGTGGGGATCCGATAGAAGAGGCCATGCTCAGCGGAGACATGGAAAACGACTTCATGATCAATCTAGACCTCGAGGATGATGACATGATGATTGGCGAACTAGACGATGACACCATGAGTGGAATGTTTGAAGATGACGCAGTTTTTAGCGGAGATATTGAGGAAGATCTTTTGCTTAGTGGTATAGAAGATGAAGACATTTTTATCAGCGGTGAAATCCCTGAAAGCTCTGGTGACCTTTACAAAGACGATGATGCAATCCTCGGTTTTGGTGAGGAGGGGGAAGACGACGTGTTAGAACCTCTTGTCGAGATATCAAATGGTCCAGATGTTGCTCCAATAATCCAGGATGTCATTACAACGGAAGCCGTTCCTCCGCCTTACTTACAAGATATCGTAGTACCAGGTGAAACTCCAGTTGTTCAAAACGACTCTCCAGAAGTTCCACTTATGGTTCAAGGCAACAATGATGCAACACCTCTGATTCAGGATGAATTGCAGGATTCAGACCCTGTGGTTCTGGATAACATACAGGAAGCTCCTGTTATTCAAAACGACATTCCAGATCCAATGCTTATGATTCAGGAAGACATGACGCCAGAGGCAGTGCCTATGGCTCAGGATAACCTGATGCCAGATCCATCTCCTATGATTCAAAACGACATGCTGGATACAATGCCTATGGTTCAAGAAAACATGATACCAGATGCAGTGCCTATGATTCAAAATGACATGCCGGATGCGATGCCTGTGAGCCAAGAGAACACTCCAGAAGTAGCGCCTGCAATGCAGTATAGTACCCCCGACGAGAATCCGCTAAGCCAAGACAACAACCCAGTTGAATCTATTATAGACCCAATAGAATCACTAAGTGAAGAACTGCCGAACAATCTTAATAGTGAACTCCCTGAAACTGGTTACGCTGGAACAACCACGATTCTAACAACTTCAGAAAAAGTATTCATCAATCCAACGACAAAATTTTCGGAACCTTCAGTGCTTTATGAACCTGATTCCACAGCTGATTCCATAGTTTTGCCAGAAGACTCGGCAACAGAGCCAGCTGGTTTTATGTCTGAAGCAGCAGATATAATGAACAGTGCCGAAGAAGTCATTGACGATGCCATAAAAATCCTGCAATATCCCGCAACGCCGACAACTGAAAAATCATGGATGAGTTCTATAATGACAACACAAAATCTTTCCATGAGAACTGACGAGGAAGCCATGCCAGGTGAACTAGCAGGCATTGCTCCTTCAATGATAACTGACATTCCTCTGATGACAACAGAAAAACCGGCCACAACAACTGCTATGGAATCTAGGCTAAGTGAAGTGTCAGCCATGGCACCTTCAACCATGATGATTGTCATGCCTCCCATGACAAGCAAAGAACCAGCTACAGCTACTGACTTGAAATCCTTGCCCGGAGAAGTGCAAACCACGGCTCCTTCTATCATTATGGCTGACATGTCTCTGATGACAACTGAAGAACAAGGCATGGCAACTGACTGGAAATCTTTAACTGGCGAAGCACCAGCAATGGCTCCTTCTGCAATGATGGCTGAACTGCTTTCTTTGACAACCGAAGAGCCAGCTATGGTAACTGTTATGAAATCTATGTCTGGCGAAGCACCAGCCACGTCTCCTTCTATGAAGATGCCTGATATGGCTCCGATGACAACTGAAGAACCAGACATGGCGACGGACATGAATTTCATGCCTGGCGAAGCTTCAGCCATGGCACCTTCTATGATGATCGCTGACATTCCTCCGATGACAACTGAAGAACCAGCCATGACAACTGAAATAAGTTCTATGTCTGGCGAAGCACAAGCCATGTCTCATTCTATGTTAATGGCTGACCCGCGTCCGATGACAACTGTAGACCCAGTCATGGCATCTGACATGAAATCCTTGTCTGGCGAAGTACCAGCCATGTCTCCTCCTATAAAAATGGCTGGCCCGAGTCCGATGACAACTCAAGGCCCAATCATGGCCACTGACATGAAATCCTTGTCTGGCGAAGTACCAGCCATGACTCCATCTATGGAGATGGCTGATATTGCTCCGATGACACCTGAAAAACCAGACATGGCGACGGACATGAATTTCATGCCTGGCGAAGCTTCAGCCATGGCACCTTCTATGATAATGGCTGACATTCCTCCGATGACAACTGAAGAACCAGCCATGGCAAGTGACATAAGTTCTATGTCTGGCGAAGCACCAGCCATGGTACCTTCTATGATGATCGCTGACATTCCTCCGATGACAACTGAAGAACCAGCCATCGCAACTGACATGAATTTCATGCCTGGCGAAGCACCAGCCATGGCACCTTCTATGATAATGGCTGACATTCCTCCGATGACAACTGAAGAACCAGCCATGGCAAGTGACATAAGTTCTATGTCTGGCGAAGCACCAGCCATGGTACCTTCTATGATAATGGCAGATATTCCTCCGATAACAACTGAAGAACCAGCCATGGCAACTGACATGAATTTCATGTCTGGCGAAGCACCAGCCATGGCACCTGCTATGATAATGGCTGACATTCCTCCGATGACGACTGAAGAACCAGCCATGACAACTGAAATAAGTTCTATGTCTGGCGAAGCACCAGCCATGGCACCTTCTATGATAATGGCTGACATTCCTCCGATGACAACTGAAGAACCAGTCATGGCAAGTGACATAAGTTCCATGTCTGGCGAAGCACCAGCCATGGCACCTTCTATGATAAAGGCTGACATTCCTCCGATGACAACTGAAGAACCAGCCATCGCAACTGACATGAATTTCATGTCTGGCGAAGCACCAGCCATGGCACCTGCTATGATAATGGCTGACATTCCTCCGATGACGACTGAAGAACCAGCCATGACAACTGAAATAAGCTCTATGTCTGGCGAAGCACCAGCCATAGTACCTTCTATGATAATGGCAGATATTCCTCCGATAACAACTGAAGAACCAGCCATGGCAACTGACATGAATTTCATGTCTGGCGAAGCACCAGCCATGGCACCTTCTATGATAATGGCTGACATTCCTCCGATGACGACTGAAGAACCAGCCATGACAACTGAAATAAGTTCTATGTCTGGCGAAGCACCAGCCATGGCACCTTCTATGATAATGGCTGACTTTCCTCCGATGACAACTGAAGAACCGACCATGGCAACAGACATGAATTTAATGCCTGGTGAAATACCACCCATGGCACCTTCTATGATAATGGCTGACTTTCCTCCGATGACAACTAAAGAGCCAGCCATGGCAACTGAAATAAATTCCATGTCTGGCAAAGAACCACCAGCCATGGCACCTTCTATGATAATGGCTGACTCTCCTCCGATGACAACTGAAGAACCAGCCATCGCAACTGAAATAAATTCCATGTCTGGCAAAGAACCACCAGCCATGTCTCCTTCTATGATAATGGCTGACTTGGTTCCAACCGGTATTCTAGACCTGGGAAAGTCAACCGAGTATAGACATAGTACTCTTGAGGAATCATCTCAGACTATGGACGAAATAATCAAAGCAGAGCCCGTTAAATTAGTTCATGTAGACGCTACTATCAATATCCTGCCATCACGAAAATAGACAGTTAACGCAAAGCTCTCAAAGTTTATATCGATTTTTTGTTAGTCTGTGGTCTGGCTCGTTTCCAGGTATCGCTTGTGATTTCTTCTAAAATGCAATATATCAGTTTAAAATGACTTTTTTTAATTATAAACTGCATTAAAATTGTCAGCGTGAACAGATAAACAAATTTCTACAACAATTTTCGAACAGTTTTGACTTATATTAAAGCCGGGTAGGAAACTGGAAAAGAGCCTGCGATCTTTATCTTTGCTCAATCGATTCAACAACTATCATAACGGCAATTTCATAAGGGAATGAATGATTTATGTGATATAAATGTAAAATTATATCGAAAATAATAACAGTGATTAACGAATTTAAAGTGGTGATGTTGCAATAGATGATAATTTATTCTTTAAAACTCCTTATTTGCCGAACTGAATTGCGATTAAGAATTAAATGAACGCAGGCTGAGGTTTTTGACACATAATTTGACAAAAACGGTCAAATTATGTCCGAATTTCGTCGTAAATTAGGACGGTTCTATTAATTCACGGTATCAAGAAAAATTTTCCGATGAAGTCGAATAAAGTGGAACTAAATCGAACAGTATCCGGTAAAGTCGAACAAAGTCCGGTAAAGTCAAACAGATTCAAACAATGTCCGGTATAGTCAAGCAAAGTCGAATAAAGTAAAAAATGTCCGGTAGAGACTAACAAAAAGTCGCAATCGGACATCATTCGACTGAAAAAGTCAAAAACGGACAATCGTGAGTCGAATACCTCAGCCCGGGCGCTATAGAAAAAAATGTATGAAACAATTGAAAGTTTTAAGCGTTTTGAACACCCTGGGTGTATTTAGATTGGCTATGGCACTAATTTTATGCTTTTTCATTTCGTTTCCGTGCAAAAAAAATATACTTCGATTTCAAAAGTTAAAACTAAAAATTTAATGTGAATTGACTAATGATTTAAGAATGTGAATCCGTACTCAACGGAGGCTGTTTTTCGAGATAGAGTTTTTATATAGTATGTCTTGCCAAATTTTCGCTTGTTTTCTGTGCAAAAATAATCTATTACTTTTCTAGTTTAGAAAGAAAAAGTTTCATGGAAAGAATTAATCAGAAATCAGTTCATTGCTCAACGGCAACGAGATAAACACACATGATTCGAGTATACACAATAACAGTTGCAATACACTGCAAATTAACACTTGTTATAACAAGTGTTACTTTGCATTAGATTGGTAAGACTATTAGTTTTCATTAAGACTTTCTGATCACAAATAAGATGGGAAATTAGGATTTTTAAAAAAATTCTGCTTTATTCAAACATTTCAAAAAAAATTCTGACCAGGAATTTAGATTAGATATAAAGCATTTCAGGTCACAAGTAAAAAAAATTTCTCGGTACTGATTCTTTTTCTACAGTATAAAAAGGAATGTGCCCGGACTACGTTATAAGCAAAAATTCGAAAAATTGTTTTAGCTACTAAAATGGGAACTAAAATGGGAATTTTCTTCAGTTTTTCAGTTTTTTTCATAGAAAAATGAGTTTCATACAGTTTTTATACACGAAGTTGCATTGTTCAATAACCATTTGCTGTTCAAAAAGTTGAGATTTTGATGATTATTATGTTCTTGTTCAATTGAAATCCGATCTGAGCTCATTTAATTTTACCTAAAAACCTTTTTGGAAGGATTTCTAAAAAAAGTTAAGAAAAATGCTTATCATACAACATGAAAAACATTTTTTTTCTATAGAACTTATTCAAGGAATTGTATGATAAGCTTTTTTGTATGGAATTTGGTGATAAACGTTTCTGTTGTATGGATTTCAATCAGGTCAGTTACCCGAACAACATTCACGTTTTACTTCGACAGAAGAAGAGAAAATGACAATCAGGCTTTGAAGTACTTACCTCTTAGACTAGATTGGCTAGCCATGAAATTACACAGCCTGTACAATGAAGTGTTGCGGAAAATAATTGTGAGACGATCAAGAAGGAACTTTCAGCCATGTATTGGGAATCTCCTGTTAAAGTCGTAAGTTTAGAAAATCAAAAAGGTTGTTAATAATTTGTATTGTAGACAAACTGTTAGGCATCAAATCGAAATCTTACTGAGCTCTTTTATTTCAGATCCCATCGGACATTAGAGATCGCAAGGTCAAGACAGCAGGTCCCCAGACAGAAAGAAGAATTGATAGCACTTACATAAACTCAAACTGGTGTCTATCTAGAACAATTGATAGCACTTACATAAACTCAAAACTGGTCCCTATCTCATTCGGGCAACCACAAATAAATTTTAGAGCGTAGATAAAATTTATCAACTTTTTGTTACTATTTGGTATTGTATAAATGTACTAGTTAAGTTTTAGTTTACTTTGAGTTTTCTCACCCGCCGAACCTCTCTTAAGGTTTATTTTTCTCTTTTCTTGTCAGTTTCCTCATTTGTGTTCTATTCGGTGGATCATAACCCCCCCCCATTTTGTCAACTCCGTGTCTCTGTCGTGTTGATTTCCTCGCCGCTGTTTCACAATGGTTTTCATTTCGTTTTCCACCGACGGGTCGTGGTGAATTCTCCCTAACCGACGGTACATCCTTTCCTTCGTCCGCCGCACCTATAATTGGTTCACTTCACTCGATTTTCCACTCACTATCTTCGTCGTCGTCGTGCTCGCTCTCGTCCGCACTGTATTCCACTATCCGTTGTTTCGTCGATCTTCTTGCATTTTCCATTGCGGTTCGTTCCTTCTCGGCTTTTCGCTTATACTTGTTGGATTCGCTTGAGAAAGGGGGACTATGTACATTTCTACTCGGTCCTGGGGTGCACTCTTCGCGTCTACTCTCAATTAGGCTTTCTTCAGCCGCCGATCTAAAAGACACACCACTCCGCCTTAGTAACGACCCTTTTTCCATTTGCACCGTATGCTTAGTCAATTTTTCAATTTTTAATGGCAAACATTTATACCTTCTTGGGTCCTTCGGATCCGTCTTCCCAGTCCTCTGATATACGGTCGTGGAATTTGTTTGTGCTTTTTAAGCCATGTTGGAGTTTTGGGTGGACTTAATTCCTTGGGGTCAACAACTTCCGGAGCCTTGGGATCCGCTACCACATCATCATCCAAAATGATCGGAGCTTTCCTATTTTGAGGGGCGTACACTAAATCACTTCTCTTCTCCCAATCTAGGGTGAGTTCAACTTCCGGGAGGTTTCCCCCCTTGTCTAAACAAGATAACTTTTGGTTAACAACATTGTTCCAATTTAAGTTTCTCAATGACGGCTTTATCGTTAAATTTCGCAATGCCGTATTTGCTTCTCGGCCATGGTATGCTTCGAAAGGCGTTAATTTAGTTTTAGAATGTGGCACAAAACGTAATGCACTAAGCGCACGGGATATCATTGCTCCAAACTTAGTAGTTTTTATTTTCCTGAAGATAAGTTAACACGTAATTTTTTATCGACCCAATAGTCCGTTCAACCATTCCTGTCGCGCGATGATCCCTAACCGGAAATTTAATAAGTTCGATACATTCGTAGTTACAGAAATTTTGAATTTCATTAGAGAAAAACCCCGTGGCTTGATCCATGTGCAACTTGCTTGGGTGTCCATGAGTATTTATGTACTTCCTTAGGAACTTCAATACATTTTTTGATTTATTGCTTGAACAAACATACGCCGACGGCCAATGCGAGAAGGTATCTACTGCTACAAGTACATACTTTTACCGACCCCTTACATAATTTACTGGACCCCAGAAATCTAATTGGACTAAATCATTTGGTTCCTTAGGAACATACGTTTCCCCCATGTCACTTTTCGGAATGTCCGGTTTAAGGTTTTTACCTGCCTCTAAGCAACTTTTGCAGTATTTTGCTGTGGCCGCGATATTTCGACGCATCAGGGGAATCCACACGTCCTTTGCGGCAGCGAACATTTTGTCCCGCCCATGATGGTTGTAATGTAGGCGGTTCAAATTTGCTGATGATAGATCCTTCGGTATTGCTAACTGGCCGTCCATCTACAGGCAATTCTCACGTACTGCGAAATCGTTGTAATGCTGGGCGTAGTATTTTCCTAATCTTGTAATAATCTCCTTTGCTCGTGGGTTTTTGTCTCTGATGTTATCTCTGATGGTTTTCATAATTGGGTCTTTTTCAATGTTTGCTTCAATCAATTTTAAATTCAAAACTTCCGGGTGTTCAATTTTCTTCACTATTTTACTATAGAGTAGATCCATTTTTCATTTTGAACGAGTGGGTAAGACAAACCAGGGAACTGGTGTGGAAAAGATATAATTGTTTTTAGTTTTTTAGAATTAGTCTGTTTATTATCAAGTTTTTCGGGTGGTATCATTTTGATATCGGAATCCGAACTAACGCTAGGAGGTTGATTTAGGCGGTTCAGTACAACGTTTAGATTCACATTTCCCAAATTAGTTGATGTGTTGACTATGGCCGAAGTTGGAGGATCATTTTTCTCAGGCGAATTGCTCATATTTTTATAGATTGGGTTACTCCAGTTATTCCGAATTAGGGTTTTGCTACTGTAATTTTTTAAATTAAATGGCTTTTCACTGTAATCTTTGCTATTGGAATTCTTCAAAGTAAGTGGCTCTTCACTGTAATCTTGTACGATGGGTGGTTTGCAACTGTAAATTTTCAACGTAGAAGGCTTGCTGTTGTAATTAGTTGAACTGGAAGGGTTTCGATAGTATTTGATCAATTTTTTATGCTTGCAACTGTAATTTAAGCAATAAGAACAAAGTCTGAATCTCGTTCTTTGGTATTTGCATATTTCTGCCGGTATGCAAATATCTCGACGCTGATTGGTTAACCGCCGGTTGCATGTAAACACGCCCTCTATTGAGCGTTCGTGCTCACGGTGAATATTTGCATATTCGTCTTTTCTTTCATTCTCATTGGATGAAACTGATTTCGCTGTGTCGAAGCATGACTTTTCGCCCCCTACCGTCGGTTTTGGCTTAATGTTAACCGTTGGTTTTCGTGCTTTGAATATCCGTTGCGCCTCGTCTCCGATACAAAGATATAGATTAGACTTTAACTTCTTTTCCGAATCGAGACGGTTTTTTCCATTGACTTCTTCAGGCAACGCCGTTATAGCCGCCGTATTTAGAGTACTCGCAAAGTAGAAATCATCGGGATCAATGTCGTATTTTGCTATCATCCCCCAGTGAAACTTAATTATCCACTCCTCCCAATAGACTGGAGGTTCCGGCGTTCGTGTTTCCCAAAATGCTACTATGTTTAGTGGATTTTCCCCCTCCTTTTTTCTCTGCTGGCTGTGCCACGTTAAATTCATAAGTTTAGAAAATCAAAAAGGTTGTTAATAAGTTGTATTGTAGACAAACTGTTAGGCATCAAATCGAAATCTTACTGAACTCTATTATTTCAGATCC